CCAAGAAGCCAATGAAGCCCACAAGAATAATTTTAAAAAAGACATACTACAGGTAATCAATGAGAATATTATAGAGACGATACTGGATATGGTCAACCAAAATGTACAGGAGACACTCAAGAAATTGCAAGAAAACAAAAATAGATAATTTGAAAAAGCAAAAGAAGAAATCAAGAAAACCATAGAAGCACTCTATAAACACCAAAGTGAAACAAAGAACACGATTAATAAAGAGATAAATGAACTGAGGACAAAAATAGACAACATTAAAGAGGAAGAACCTCAGGATATGAAAAACCTCAGAAAAAAGAATGAAACAGAATTGCAAAACAAAATGGAAGGCCAATCCAGCAGACTAGAACAAACAGAAGACAGAATCTCAGCATTAGAAGATGAAATGGTAATTAAAGGAAAAACCGAAGAATTATTAGCTAAACAACACAAGACCTGTGAAAAGAAAATGCAAGAACTCACTGACTTCATCAAAAGACCAATCATGGGAATTCAAGAAGGAGAACAGGTGCAAGCAAAGGGAATGCGCGATATGTTCAACAAAATAATAACAGAAAATTTCCCAAACCTAGAGAAACATATTCCCATACAGATGCAAGAGGCCTCCAGAACACCAAACAGACCACATCAAAACAGAACTACCCCATGACATATTATCATTAAAACAAGAAGTACAGAAACTAGAGAAAGAATATTGAAGGCTGTAAGAGAGAAAAAACAAATAACATACAAAGGTAAACACATCAAAATCACAGCAAACTTCTCAACAGAAAATTTAAAAGCAAGAAGAGCGTGAAGTGAGATCTTCCAGGCACTGAATGAAAATACCTTCAACCCCAGGAGACTCTACCCAGCAAAACTTTCACTCAAAATAGATGGAGCAATAAAAGTCTTCCATGATAAGCAGAAACTAAAAAAAATGTGACCACAAACACCACTACAAAAGATTCTCCAAGGGATTATGCACACAAAAAGTGAAACCCAACATAACCAAGAAAGGGCAGGCAGCACCAAAGTACAGGACAAGAAAAAGCAAGAAAGTAGAGAATAACCTCAACTTAGTACACATAATCAAACCTTCAAACAATTAAGACAACTAAATAACAAGACATGAAGCCACACAACTAAAACCAACTTGTCTTTGACAAAGGTGCTAAAAATATACAATGTAGAAAAGAAAACCTCTTCAACAAAAACTGTTGGGAAAACTGGTTAGCAGTCTTCAAAAAACTGAACCTAGATCCCCGTATATCACCCTATACCAATATTAACTCAAAATGGATCAAGGATCTTAATATCAGACCACAAACTCTAAAGTTGGTACAGGAAACAGTAGGAAATACTCTGGAATTAGTAGGTATAGGTAAGAACTTTCTCAATGGAACTCCACCAGCACAGGAACTAAGAGATAGCATAGATAAGTGGGACTTCAGAAAACTAAAAAGCTTCTGCTCAACAAAAGAAATGGTCTCTAAACTGAAGAGACCACCCACAGAGTGGGAGAAAATATTTGCCAGCTACACATCAGACAAAGGACTGATAACCAGAATATATAGGGAACTTAAAAAACTAAATTCTCCCAAAATTAATGAACCAATAAAGAAATGGGCAAGTGAGCTAAACAGAACTTTCTCAACAGAAGAAATTCAAATGGCCAAAAACCACATGAAAAAATGCTCACCATCTCTAGCAATAAAGGAAATGCAAATTAAAACCACACTAAGTTTCCACCTCACCCCTGTTAGAATAGCCATCATCAGCAACACCACCAACAACAGGTGTTGGCAAGGATGTGGGGGAAAAAGGAACCCTCTTACACTGCTGGTGGGAATGTAAACTAGTACAACCATTCTGGAAAAAAATTTGGAGGCTACTTAAAAAGCTAAACATTGATCTACCTTATAATCCAGCAATACCACTCTTGGGGATATACCCAAAAGACTGTGACACAGGTTACTCCAGAGGCACCTGCACACCCATGTATATTGCAGCACTATTCACAATAGCCAAGTTATGGAAACAGCCTAGATACCCCACCACCGACAATTGGATCAAGAAGTGTGGTATTTATACAGAATGGAATTTTTTACAGCCATGAAGAAGAACGAAATGTTATCATTCGTTGGTAAATGGATGGAATTGGAGAACATCATTCTGAGTGAGGTTAGCCTGGCCCAAAAGACCAAAAATCATATGTTCTCCCTCATTTGTGGACATTAGATCAAGGGCAAACACAACCAGGGGACTGGACTTTGATCACATGATAAAGTGAGAGCACACAAGGGAGGTATGAGGATACGTAAGACACCTAAAAAACTAGATAGCATTTGTTGCCCTCAATGCAGAGAAACTAAAGCAGATACTTTAAAGCAACTGAGGTCAATAGGAGAAGGGGACCAGGAACTAGAGAAAAGGTTAGTTCAAGAATTAACTTAGAAGGTAACACACATGCACAGGAAATCAATGCGAGTCAATTCCCTGTATAACTATCCTTATCTCAACTAGCAAAAACCCTTGGTCCTTCCGATTATTCCTTATACTCTCTCTTCAACAACATTAGAGATAAGGGAAAAATAGTTTCTGCTGGATAGCAAGGGGGGAGGGGTGGTAAGAGAGGGCATGGGGGAAGGGGGGAGAAATGACCCAAACAGTGTATGCACATATGAATAAAATAAAAATTAAAAAAAATTCTATCTAAAGTAGTCTGAAATAAACTCATTAGGGAATTATTTTAGTGAGTATAACATAAATAATTTGTAGAAAAACAGTATTTCTAAAATTCCTGGGGGTCCCTGACAATTGGTTTGTACCTGGGAGTTTATTTATTTATTCACTCTTTCATTCACACATTCATTCATTCATTTGTTGTGGTGCTGGGGGAAAAATACAGGGTCTAGCCCATGCTAGGCAACTGTTCTACCACCTAGTCTTTTCCTCATGGTTTTAAATATTCTTCTTCACATACAGTTGACACTATCAACTTCTATGACCTGATTTATTTATTTTCATGAAAATATTGAAAAAAAAGGCTTGTTAAACACAGATCTAAGTCCCTTTTGGAGAAACTGTTATTTTCACCATAAAAAGGAAGTTTTATTTTTTCAAAGTGCAGATGAATATGAAAAAGCTTTAGGTCTATGAGAGAAAGAGACAAAATCTGACTAATAAGTATACAAATATTTTGATGGAAGAGGAATTGAGAGTAGAGCACTAGCTGGAAAAAGAAAAGTAGTTTCAAAGACATTAATTTATCCATTTAAATATAGTATGATTCATTAGTCCTCATTAATATTCGTCCAAAATAGTCAGATAAAAAAAGGTGAACAAATACAGACAGATTGTACTAAAATGAGAAAATAAGAGAAGGGAAAAAGGTAAAGAGAGAGAGAGCATGAATGTACAGTCACAAGTCCTATAAAGACTAAAATGAGAGAACAATATCTCTAAGGATTGAACTAAAACAGAAATAGCTAAGAATGCAAGAATTAAATTAATGGTAAACTATACAATATTATGAAAAGTAATTCTAAGTCTATTTAAAGGAGGGTGTTTTCGATTTTACTCCTCATGTTTGCTACAGATCCCTTGTGAATCTTTTCCAAGAAAGTTCTCAGGGAGTGAGAGGCTACTTATTGTTTAAAAGGGCTCCATGCCACAAGTCTATGAGTTGCAAGAAGCTTGCAGTTTGATCCACACTCGCAGAAGTCTGTGTTCATTGTTCAGTGTAACTAATTTAAACTACTGATGCTTGAATTTGTGAACATGGGAAAATAACTTTCCATATGTATCCGTAGTTCTATATTAGGGAACTTATGTAATAATGAATTGAGAAAAAAAGACATTCTTGGTTTGAAATATATATTTTTTGAATCTTATGAATGAAGCACACTTAATTGGGATTATAGTAATTATGATTGTTTGAACTTCTATTTACAACCAGTTTACGTTTTACAAAACTTTCACAGTTATTGAATTTCATAAGCATTTGGTACCTCAGATTAGACTGGCCCTAATCACAGGCTCTGTGTATCCTAACTTTCCATTTTAATACCAACTTGGAATTTCTTTCTTAACAAAACTTTTAGAATAAAACAATTTGTTCATAACCTTTTCACACGTGGATATTATTCAAAAAGAATTATCTGGTCACATGTTAAAAGAAAAGACAAGATAACTAACCATATTTTGAAAGCAAATATGGAATTTAGATCTTCTCTATAGCCAAGATAATTGTGTTTTTGAAAGTTGTTCTCTATATTGTTAAGATATGAGAAGAAAGTTAATTCCTCAGTTTTCTCCCTTCCTTCTTTCCTTTTTTTTTTTTTTTTGCAACACTGGAGACTGAACTCAGGCAATCACTCTACTATTCAGCTTCATCTCCAGCCTCAGACTTTTATTTCTCATGTAGCACTATCAGCTTCAAGATCATATTTTCTTTCTATTAAATGTGAATATTAAAAACTGTATTAAAATTTAAATATTCTAGGTTCATACTTGAGAGAGATGAGTCTTTTAAGGAAGTAAAAATAAGAGCATTGCTATTCTCCATACTGCATGAATTACAGACATGTCCTCAATGTTTCCAGGTGTGCCAATGTTATTCCTCAAGCCATGCTCAGCTATATGAGGAAACAGCTTAAAGACAAAAATACTATTGTTGTAGACCAGTAATCTCCTCCCCTGGTAAATGGGACTCTCCAATTAAAATCAGGTCTTCAAATTAACCTGCAAGTGATTTCATGTTTTAATAGTCTGTTAGCAGCCAGACATTGAAGACTAACAGAATTTACTGCATTTCCTATTAGAACCATATTGCTATTAGAATTTTGCCCTTAAACTAGAATTTTAGTATTCTTCCTGTTATGCCAGAGAAGAATAAAAAGTCTACTCTGCTATCTGACAGAAGCTCCAAACATTACACATTTGAGCTATAGCAGGCTGACATTTTGAAAATTAACAGAGAGCAGTTTTCGGTGCATATACGATACCTGTTCCCTTATTTCTTTCATTTTTTCCACCCTCTTGAGTTTTGTGGCATATTCTTGAAATTTCAATCCCATATCTGTGCAGAGATGAACTAAGAAACGCAGACCTAAATTGTGAAAAATACATTTAGGAAAGAATGTGTGCATAGTGGTGAAAGTCCAATAAATCACAAAACTCAGTCTTTTGGGACAGAGGTAGGAATGCTTATGAATAGTGTTTCTTTTTCTCTTAAAAAGTCCTTACACTTCACAATCTTTGGATCTGGTGAACTGACTTCTTTGGAGGGGCTTAACAGACCCTTTCTGCTTGCACTGTCCTCGTGCTGGCTGACCCCACCAGTGAGGGTGAACAGGCACTTGGAGCACTTGCTAATGTGCTGGTGGGGGGGTCATCAGCACACATGGGACACTGCAAGGAGGCTAGGCTAACATGTAAACAGCCTCTACATGCCACCAAGAAGAAAACCACCAATAAGCACTTTTCACTCTCATTCAATTTAGTTTTCCCCTTTTTTGGAGGCATTGGGGTTTGAACTCAGGGCCGTGAGCTTGCTGTTAGATGCTCTACCTCTTGAACCACATCCCCACCTGAATTCATTCTTTTCATAAATATTCACATCACATGCAAAGCACTGGGAATGTAAAAATGCATTTTGTAGGAAGGCTTGAAGGCAACATTAAATATACACAAAATAATTACAAGAAAGGGTGGCAAGGGACACCTATGAATTGCCACCCAGAAGAGGAACTACAATATTCCACACCATTGCCTCTGCTTAGATGTTCTTCTCACCTGTTCCCATACTTCCACTCCTGAATTTTTGGGGGGAGGGACTGGGATTTGAACTCAGGGCTTTATGCTTACAAAGCAGGTGCTCTACCACTTGAGCCACAACTGCAGTCTATTTTATTCTGGTTGTTTTCGAGAAGAGATCTCATGACCTATTCTCCTGGCTGGCCTCAAACAATGGTCCTTCCTATCTCAGCTTCCCAAGTAGCTGGGATTACAGACCTGAGCCCTGGGCGCCCAGCTCACCCTTCCATTTTTTTAGTTCACCATTTCATTGCATGAAACAACAAAATAGCCCCCTTTATCACCCAATGACAGTTTTGCTTGCTATAGGTCTTATAAGAACTGTATTATTATAGATGCAAAATTCTGGAATTTGCCTTTTAAGATTGTGTTTGTAAAATAACCAACCTTCAAAAAATAAGTAGTGAGTGCCAAAATCCACAATGATCTTGTTTCTACATTACTGAGATGGCCTCTGCCTTTTAAAGTCTCAGGTACTTCAAAATATTTTTATTATCTCATTTAAAAATAGATTCCCTCAAAATAAGAGCAATGCATTGTAGAGAATTTGTAAAACATTTAAAGGCACAAAGAATAAATTAAAGTTAAGTATTATTAACCATTCCTCCTCCTCCCAGAGATAAAAGTAAACACTTTAGATATTTCTTTCTATACTTTTCTCAGTCACCAAGAGAATTATCACAGGTTAAGTTGAAAAAAAAGTAACTTCAAATGCCTGCAAAACATCCCATAATATACCATAATTTTTCATTCTGCTGAACATTAAAGTTGTTTCCAAATATTTGTGTGCCTGTTTCCTCGGGGTATACTACTAAATGGAAGATTCGCTGGATCCAGACTCAACCACTTCATAAATCTGCTCTTCACAGAACTTGTGCTAACTCCACTCCCAATGGAAGTTTAGGAGAATTCTTGCTTCTTATTTCCTATAAGGATAGAATGCTGCTCACACACTAGGGAAGCTTGGGATTGTTTATAAATATGTATGTATGTCTTTTTTTTCAGTCGGTATCAAGGACTTTCCCTTTCTTTCTTTCTGACACAGAGTCTCACTATGCTGCCCAGGCTGTTTCTCCAACTCATGAGCTTAAGTGATTCTCCTGCCTCATATTCTAGGGTAGCTAGAGGACTACAGTTACCCTACCACAGCTACCTACCACATTCAGCTTAAATGACACTTCTCAACACCCTCATAAATTAGGAAGAATGTAGCATATTTCTCACTTCTTCCCTTACCAAAACTGCCACTTAAATTATGCTTCATAATAATGTTTAGTTACATTAAATTAATTTCCTCTCTCACTGATCAGTCATAAAATCTCTATATTTAAGACAGCGTTTCAGTGAACTTCAAGATATCTAGGAATATCTTTCCGCTGTACTTATATGCAGAGGTAAAAACTGTTTGACGGTCACTGACATTTAGTGTTTGATGTTTACAGTTGCTGATAGCTTATCTGATTGTCTTTTCTTACAGATCAGTTTTTTCTGTTCTAGATTATTTTCTTCTACCCTGTCTTTGATTTGCCACTGATCAGCTTTATTCTTTGGTAACACTTATAATTCTCTACTACTGAGCTTTATCCCCGGCCCACTTTTATAGTTTCTAACTTCATGAACAATCATGACTTTCTTGAAATCTTCCTCTTATTGTCCTGACTTCCCTTTTCTGTCTCTTCACTATTTCCTCTACTCCATTTAATGGTCAGTGTGTGCTAGGGTCCACTCTTGTTTCTCCTGTTACCTTACACTCTCTGCCCCTGGGATGTGTCAGGCTTTTGTCAATCCCAGACAGGCTTTGTGTTGATAATTTAAAGCTAGTCTTTAACTCCAGGCCCACATTTCTCTTGAGTTTCCCACATTCTTCTCTATGCGAAAGTGGAAGACTGACACCCAAGGCACCAGAGAGAGCCCTTCCCCATACTGACAACACCATGTCCCTAATCCTCTGCATGAAAGTTCCTGGCTTTCTTTTTCATCTCCTTTTACAGTGAATCATTTGGACTCTGCCCCATTTTGCCTAGATTTCTGCTACACAATTGTGGATGACATTTTGAAATAGACTCTGCATTCCTCTGTCTCCTTTTTCTTCCGAATGCTGCTCTTCTTCCTGGAATGCCTTCTCTGCCTGGCAAAGCGTCTTTACCCCCCTCCCAGGCCATTTCCAATCTCACTTCCTCTGTGAAACCTAATTGTGGAATCATCCTCTAATCCTGGCGGAGTCAGAGCGCTATGTTTCCACAGACTTTGGACATTTTTCAATTATTTCACTTATTATACTGTATAAGTTAGTCAGCAAGTCCTACGGGGCAGATACCAACACTTAACATCAACTGTTGTATCTCCCACCCATAAGAAACAGTTGATAAAAGTTGTAGGGAAACAAATGAATAAAGAAGTAGCAAAGTCATAAAATTAACCCTTAACTTGTTCAAAAATGTTACTTGGAATACATATTATAACTGAAGAAAACAAACGTGTGTTAAACATATTGAAATGCATTTATATGGAAATGACTCCCAACTTTTAAATGCCCAACTGAGACATCCACCTGGATAGCTAATAAGTAGCTCATATGTTACACATCCAGAAGAAGCCTGACTTTTCCCTTTCAAGCTTGCTCCTTCCCCAGGCTTTCCTCCTCTTTGTGAACAGTGGTTCCATCCTTCCAGCTACCCATACTTGGATCTATGGAGCCATTCTTGACACCCTTCTCTCATCTCACATCCAAATGGCGACAACTTCTGTCACCAATGACTTCCAAATATATTTGGAATCTGACCACCTTTCACTACCTCCACTGCTATTACTGAGTTCAAGTAATGTGACCTTCCTCTCTCTCCCTACCCTCTTTCCCGTCCTTTGTGTGTATATGTCTGTGTGTTACTGGTTATTGAACTCAGGACCTCAAACATTCATGGAAAGTGTTCTACCATTTGAGCCATGTCCCCAGCCACCACTCCCTGCTTCCCCCCCTCTTTTCTGCAGTACTAGGGTTTGAACTCGGGAACTATACGTTGAGTCACTCCACCAACCCTTTTCTGTAATGGGCTGTTTCGAGATAGGGTCTCGAAAAAAGTATTTGCCTGGGGTGGCTTTGAACCTTGATCCTCCTGAGGAGCTGATTTTTAAAATTTTTATTTTTATTTTTTTGGTGGTACTGGGGTTTGAACACATGGCCTTACACTTGTTAGGCAAGCAATCTACCATTTGAGCCACTCTGCCAGCCTCTGTTTGTGTTGGATAGTTTCAAGATAAGGTCTTGCAAACTATTTGCCTAGGTGGACATCAAATCTTGATCCTCCTGATCTCTGCCTCCCAAGCAAATAGGATTACAGGTGCGAGTCCTCAGTGTCTGGCAATTTACTTTGCTTTTGAGAGAGGGTCTTTCTAACTTCGCCCAGCTGTGACCTCCTGCCTATCTTCCAAGTAGCTAGGATTGCAGGTGTGTATCAACACATCCACTTAATGCTGTGATTTCTCATATAGACACCACCCACCCCCATTTATTCTCCAGACGGTACATGACTTGGACCTCAGATGGCAGAACCTTAAGTTAATCCTATTCTAGTGATGCTCTGAAACCATGTCAAGTTGTATTACTCTTACATTTACATCTCCCTAAAAACATGTCCTCCAGCCCTGTGCTAGGAATGATGGGTCCTACTGCCCATGCCCTCTGACTTGGCCCCCTCCATCAGACATAGTGCAACCATGCATCCTCCCCACCTTCACAGCTTGCTTCCTTCTATTCTTTCAGATCCCTGCTCAAGTGCTACTAGTTGGAAAGGCCTCCCTGACACCCTGTCTAAATAAGAAGGTGATTTATATTTTCTAAGAATAACACACAACTGACTCTCCTGTATACCTCTCCTCAGAAGAGTGACTTGAGCGTATTTAATGTAAAATTTAACAAGTTGTCATAGGTCCATATCCTCTGAAATGTAGGATATCATATGTAAGATGGTAGAGGTGGAAATTTTTTGGTGAGGAATGTATTTTTAAAGGAAGATTTCCTGTTGAGTTCACCTGAAAACCACTCTGCTCAAAACGAGACATGCCATGGTGTAAATGATTTTCTTTCTTTCAAAATCTTTTTTGTGTGGCTAAAGTTAAGGCAGTCTATCGAGTATATGTGTTTTGAAATTATATAGGTCAAAGATAGCGTGGACACTCCTTGTGGCATACACAATCACCTACTTCAGTTTTAGAGTGACTTTTAAAACTTTCCATGAAGGGAAATGCTTGGCCTTGATGGCCTGCTACAGAGGTGCTGTAGCAGGTGCTACAGAGGTGCTACAGAAGTGGTTTTCATCCCTTCAGGGGTCATTTGGCCAAGTCTGGAGACTTCAGTTTTGCCTAACTGGGATGGGACTGCTACTAGCATCTTGTGGACAAGGCTTGGGAATGCTGCTAAGCACATATTCTACTGGACAGCTGCCCACAACCTTGGGATATCCGGCTCCAAGTGTCAGCTGGCTGCTGCTGCTCTGTTTTAATTGCATCTCTGTTTCTACAGCACCAGTTCCCCAAAGTGACCGAGTTTAAGAATCACATACAAAACTTTAGAAAAAGAAATAGGGAAAAATACATGCATAGGTCTACTGGAAACCTAAACAAGAATCTGAAGTAGGGCTAGAAATATGTATTTAAAACTTCTGCAAGTTAGTGGGCACTGGTGGCTCATACCGGTAATCCTAGCTACTTGGGAGGTTGAGAATGGGAGGGTCAAAGTTCTTGGGTAGCCGGAGCCGACAGTTCGTGAGACCCCATCTATAAAATAACCAGAGCAAAACAGACTGATGTGGCTCAAGTGGTAGAATGCCTTCTATGCAACCATTAAAGCCCTGAGTTCAAACCTCAGTCCACCAAAACAAAACAAAAAGTTCTGTAAGTTACTGCCACAAGGCCAGGTTATTGGCTGGCACTTGGAAACTGCACTGAGAGTTAAGGAAGCTACTGCTAATCAGCATTGGAGAGACCTTGACCCTGCCTCACCACTATTGATCAAAGCTCAGTGATCTGATGTGGAGCTTTTATCAAAAGCCAAACTGAGAAATACATAACAAAGGAACATGCAATGGATTTAGCTAATCCTCAGATCAGCTGGGCCTTCAGAAAACTTGGCTCTGAAGGTTTGTTTTTTAGTAAACTGTAATGTCTTGCATTCTGTTTACTGTCATTGGAAGATACAATTTAAAAGTCTTTTCAGGGCTGGTGCAGTGGCTCATGCCTGTAATTCCAGCTACTTAGAGGCAAAGATAGGAGTATCACTGTATGAGGCCGGCCTGGGCAAAAATGCAAGACCCTATCTGAAAAATAGCTAAAGCGCAGGCTGGAGGTGTGGCTCAAGCAGTAGAGCACCTGCCTAGCAAGTGTGAAGCTTGGAGTTCAAATTGCTGTCTCTCAAAAACAAATGAACATATGAACCCAAAACAACAACAAAACCAGAAAAAGAAAACAGCAAAACAGTCTGAGGCAAGGCTCAAGTGATAGAGTGCATGCCTAGCAAGTGCAAGGCCCTGAGTTCAATCCCACCTACCAACCAAAAAAAACCAGTCTTTTCCAACATGTTATTCTGTTTGCTGTAGGGATATTATTAAAGCAACTAATTGAAAGTAACTTTCAATTACAGATTCTGCTACATCAGTGTCTCAACATGAAACAACTAAGAATTAGAAATTTTTTTCTTCTCAAGGCAGGCTAGAAATTTGCTTTTTATTTCTTCACAAAAGAGTTATAGTTTAGTAGAATATGCTGACGATGAATGGGGTTATTTTATATTTTTTTCATCCTGGTTTTGTCACTGCTGTAATAGTTCATATTATCACTGTAAATTGCATCAAACCATTATGCAACAAGACAGAAAGCTTATATTCACTAATGTTAATATATATATATATATTAATATATATCTTTCCACTCCACTAATATGTCATGGTGACATTTTAAAATTAAGTAACATTAAAAAAAGATCATTTGCTATCGGTATTAGTAAGATTATTAGTGTTCTATTTTCACAAATGTTTTTCAGCCTCTAAAGGTTATTTACTAAAATGGACAGTTAAAAATGCCTTTTTGTAAAATAACATTGTTTATGAACTTTGAAGAGTCAATAATAAGCCAAAGTTAATTCTTAAAACATTTCTAAAATCCTGAAAATATAAACTTGTTTACTAGAACTTGGTATTATATTTAAACCTAAAAACAATTAAATTCTCTTCAAATGTGTATTTCTGACCCTCTAAAAACATTTAAACATGGGTGCCACAAACAGAAGTTGTGTTTGTCCATGCAATGACTATAGAAAATGTAATTATGTATTAGAACATAAAATGCCATATCCTATGCTTTCACAGTTATAAAATGTAATGTCACTTACATTCAACATTTTCTGGAAATTTTCTGTGAATATCTTTATAAGTGTCTAAAGCTTTTTGGTAGTTACCTATAAGAAAAAAATAGAAAAGTACAATACAGTAATAAGTTATAGAAACTAGTATGATTTAGAAAAATATCAATTTTATTCCAAAATACTGGTACACTTCAATGGTTTAGTAGAAAGTTTTATGTTTGCCAGAAACAAATATCCATGATTCTTAATATAACTTATGGACAAAAATGAACAGATAAAATAACTTTGAGAATGGGTTAGAGCAGAAGTGAATGGACAAAGGCTGAAACTTAGTTTTACTTCCTGAAATATCTTAGGGGCTAACACTAAGACCCAGTCAGGCCTGAGGGTGTGCTTAGTGCTAGAGGGCTCACCCAGCATGTTGAGGCCCTGCGTCCAATACACAGCTCCACATAAAAACAACCCAAAAACCTGTTCAATTTTCTCAAAAGGATAATTTCAGATGAACTGGGAAATTTAAAATTATTTAAGTCATAAACTAATAGTACCTTAATGTCATCCTTTTAGTAGGAAAAGATGAAAATATGCTTTTTAATCTTTTGTTTGTTTGGGTGGAACTGGGATTAGAACTCAAGGCTTTTGCACTTGCTAGGCAAGCATTCTACCACTTGAGGCTCACTCTATAGTTTCTTTAAACTTTAAAAACTTTACCATAAGCAATTTTTTGTGTGTTTGTTTACAGTGCTAGGGATCAAGCACGGGGCCTTGCACATGCAAGGCAAAGCTCACCACTAAGCCATATCCACAGCCAACAATTTGTTTTATAATTTGCTTCATGCATCAGCAAAAACAGAAAAAATGGGTTTAGGTCAAGATCTTTGTTAAGACCTTGCAAACAAGTTGTGAATATCTCTCAGGTGTGAGAGAGTGCTGTAAATTTGTATGAGCACAGAGTACACTGAGAATCACTTGAGTAGAAAATGGAAGTATAAATTAATACAATATTTTTTCTGTGGTTAATCATAAAATTGATAACATGTTAACTTAGTAAAATAATCCTTTTTTAATAGAAGTATTTAAATTACATGATTAATATCCTCTTTGTGAGGGCTGGCTCAGTGGGGGAAAGGGGTGTAGCTCAGTGGCAGAGCACTTGTTTTTGGGTTCAATCCCCAGCACTACCCCTTCAAAAATTCACTTAGTCAGTATGACATTTTTCTGTATGTAGTAATTATTTTGTTTTCTTATAATGCTTCAATTATGTTTAGTGTGTTTTTTTGTTTTTTGGCTTTTTTTTTCAGGGGAGAGCGCGAACGCAGTCCCCCACTACCACAAATTATGCAGTCGAGTTTCCCACATTTGGGGAAATCGCAGGGGTCAGCACATCCGGAGTGCAATGGATAAGCCTCACCCTGGGAAAACCACCTTCGTGATCATGGTATCTCCCCTGCCAGGTAAGTATCAATTATGTTTAGTGTTTTAACAAATAAATATGCAACTGAAACATATTTATATTCATAATTACCTAAAAAAAAAGAAGCAAGATAACAGAAAAATGAACAAAATCAAAATATTTACTACTTCTAAAACAACTTGCTACCATCAGCTGCCATTTCACTTCTGTGGGTCTATGAAAGAAACAAATTAGTTGAAATTAGAGATGAAACAAAAATAACCTGTGATGGTGAAACAGTTTCTTAAAGTTTTATGCCTGTAGTACCCTTCAATTACTTTTTGACCTTTTGTTACATCATTATTACCTGTCATAGTAATATTAGCATATTTAAATTTCAGAGACCTGCAAAGTTCATGTGATCCATGCTTTCGTTTAGATATTTTCTGTGAATAACTTAACCTGTGTGGTTAAAAGCCACTCACTGTGTACTGCTTTAAACATGATCATATTCCTTGCCATTATCTTTAACAATAATATTTAGGTTTGCAATTTAGTATCTAATACTCAGAGAGTGAAAAAGAATTCCATTTATCCTCCTTCTCCCCCCCCCCAACAACAGACAACATTCTTTTTTAGAAATAAATAACCATGACCAGTATTTCTAAATGCTACTATTAATAATACCTAAAAATATTACAGTTTGAAGAAACAACAGCCTAGGGAACCACTAAATACTCCTTTCACTTTTTTTTAATTTCCTTTCTACTTGCCTGATGGCTTTAAGGAAAGCCTCAGTTCCCACCCAATCGGATGGCAACCCTACCAGAGCTCAGGAACCAGACCCATCTAAATTTAAATCTCAGCACTGCCATTTGGGCAAGTTATTTGTCTTCACACCCACTGTGATCTAAATAAACCAGACTGAACCACGTTACTGCCCGACTAAAAATCTGTCACCTCCTCCACCCATGTTCAGTCCAAGATTCTAACCGAGTTTATCTGCTTTCTAGTCCTCTGCCTCTCCACTCCTCACCAGGCCTGGTCTAGCACTGCAAGTCCAGCAGGAGAATGGACTGCTCTGCCAGACTCCTCATCTGCTGGTCCTGACACCCTTCTGCTTGAGGCTCGCTTCTCCACCCAGGCTGCACCTGACTTCTGTACACTCCCCTCTCAGCACTGCATGTTCATACTGTATCATTTATTTGTGTTTCTGAATACTAACATTATCCTCCTTCCTCTACAAATAGTACCTGCTTTCTAACCCTATTTGCCCAGTTTTTGAACTTTACATGAATAGAATTACATAGTATGTATCCATTTTTAAACAGCTGAATTACTGAAGTATAATTCACATACCACAAAATTTACCCAATTAAAGTATAGAACACAGCAGTTTTTAATGTACATATTACCTAGTAATATAGTAATTTAATTTTTTAAATTACTAGAGCACTTGCTTAGCAAGTGTGAGGGCCTGAGTTCAAACCCCAGTACTGCCAACCAAAAAATTGTGATAAAATATACACAACATACAATTTTGCAGTTTAATCATGTTTAGGCATACAGTTCAGTAGAATTAATTACATTCACAGTGTTGTTCAGGACTAGTGGAGTGGCTCAAGTGGTAGAGTGCCTCCCTAACAAATATGAGGCCCTGACTTCAAACTCCAGTACTGCAAAACAGAAAAACCACAGTATTGTTCAACCATCAAGCATTGTCTGCAAGAACATTTTTGTTACCAAACAGACACCCTGCAACCATTAAGCAGCAGTAACTCCTCATTTGCTTCCCCAATTCACTGGTAATCTCCTTTTGACTTTCTGTTTTGTCTATGAATTTGCCCATTTTAGACCCTGCATAGGAATGAAATCATAGCACTTGTGGTTTCGTGTCTACTTGCTTCACTTGGCATGCTGTTTTTAAGGTCCTTCCACGTTGCAGCACATGTCAGAATTTCCTGTTTACAGCAGAAGAACATTCCATCAAACATGTACTCACACTGATGGACATTTGAGTCATTTCTACCCGTGGGCTCCTGTGAATGAGTCCACTGTGAAGCATCTACCTGAGTCTCTGCTTGCTTTGCTTCCTTTGGATATATTCCCATGAATAAAAATGCTGCATCATATGTTAATTCTAAGGTCAACTTTTTGAGCAACTGCCAAACTGTTTCCCATAAAACATTATTTTATGTTCCCACTAGCAGTGTACAAAGATCCTAGTTTTTCCACATTTTCCCCAACACTTTTTATTTTCCTTTCCCCCTCAACCCCCCAGAGTTTTAAACTGCCTATTTTAATTTTTGAGACAGGATCTCCTATGTAGCTCAAGCTGGCTTCAAACTTGACATTCTCCTGACTCAGCTTCCTCGATTCTGGGATAGTAGGCATGTGCCATCACACCAGACTTTCTTTCTTTTCTTTTTTTCCTTTCTTTTTTCCCTTTTTCTTTTTTCTTCCTCCCATCTTTTGATAATATGATCCTGAAAGTGGCATCTCATTGTGTTGTTGATTTGCATTTCTCAAATGACTAATGATGGTGAGCATCTTTTTATATGCTTATTGGCCATTCATAAACCTTCTTTGGAGAAATATTTAAGGAGATTTTTTTCTTGGTGGTACTAGGATTTGAACTCAGGACCTCATATCTGCGAGGCAAGCACTCTACCACTTGAGCTGTGCCTCTGCCCTGAGAAGTGTTTATTTAAAATGTTTGCTAATTTTTAACTTTTTTTAAGTTATTGAGCTGTAGGATTTCTTATATATTTTGGATATTGACACCCTATCAGATGGGTGACTTGTAATGTTTTTCCTACTTTGTGAATTCTGTTTTGACTCTTGTTTCCTTCTATGAGCAGAAGTTTTTTTGTTCGTTTGCTTGGTTTTTGTTTGTCTGTTTTTAGGATTCAATACATAGTTCAAACTAAGCAGAAATTTTTAAGTTTGATGAAGTTTATTTTATCTATTTCTTATGGTTTTTATGACATTTCCAAAAACTATTTACCAAATCCAACATCATGAACAATTTCCACCAAGGTTTTCTTGTAGGAGGTTTACAGGTTTGGGTCTTACATCTAGGCCTTTAATCCATTTTGAGTTAAGTTTTGTATATGGTGTAAAGCAAGACTTCAACTTCTTTACTTTTCTTTTTTATTTTTGAGGCAGGGTCTTTTTACATAGCCCAGGCTGGCCACAATCTTGGCAATCTTCCTGCCTCAGCCTTCTGAGTGCTGTGAGTATAGGCATGTACCACCATGCCCAGCTGCCAACTTCGTTCTTTTGCACATGTATATCTGGTTTTCTACACACTTTCTCCACTGAATGGTTTTGACATCTTTGTTGAAAATCAGTTTATGGGCTTGGGTTCTAGATTTTGTTCTGTTTATCCATCTGTCTAGCCTTCTGCCAGTACCACACTATTTTGATTACTGTAGCATGGAGGCAAATTTGGGAATCAGGAAGGAGTCCTCCAACTTTGTCCCTTTTCAAATTACTTTCACTATTCAGGGTCCCTGGAGATTCCATATGATTATTAAGGTGGATTTTACACTTCTGAAAAAATACTATTGAGTGCTAGGTGTGTGGCACCAGTAGAGCACATGCCTAGCATGCATGAGGCCCTGGGATAAAAGCTCCAGTACTGCCAACAAAAAAAATTACTATTGGAATTTTGATAGAGATTGCATTAAACCTCAGATCACTTTGAGCACATCTATCATCTTAACAATATTAAGACTTTTAATTCATGCCCATGTCTTTCCATTTATGTCTTTTTAAATTTCTTTCAAGAATGTTTTATAATTTTCAGTGTATACGCCTTTCACCTCTATGGTTAAAATGGCTAGTTATTTTATTCTTTTTGATGCTTGTAAGTAGTTTATTTGTATGCCTGGGTTTTTGTTTTGTTTTGTTTTGATTTTTTTTTTGAGGTACTGGGGCTTGAACTCAGGTCCTACACCTTCAACCACTCCATCAACCCTTTTTTGTGAAGGGTTTTTTCAAGACAGGGTCTCCCAAACTGTTTGCCCAGGCTGGCTTAGAACCACAATCCTGATCTCTGCCTCCTGAGTAGCTAGGATTACAGGCATGGGCCACTAGTTCCTCCCTAAGTGGAATTGTTTCTCATTTTCTCCTCTGGATTATCCACTGAGATACAAGGGACTTTTGTATGCTGATTTTATATCATTTATCAGATTTATTTTTTGTGGATTCCTTAGGGATCTCTGCACAGAATATCATATCTGTGCTCAGAAATAATTTTTCTTCATCCTTCCCAATTTTAGATGCCTTTTTAACCTTTCCAACTTATAATGAGTTTGTTGGGATGTTACTCATTGCCTTTGGTTTGACTGGAAATGTCTTCATTTCTCCTTCATTCTCAGAGGATAATTTTGCTAGATACAGAGTTCTTGATGGATAGGTTTTTTGTTTGTTTGTTTTTCTTCTATTTTTAAATTTCAGGACTTTAAAATATACCATCCCATTTTCCTCTGGCTTCTAAGGTTTCTGCTGAGATATCTGCTGATAATCTTACTGAGCATTCCTTTTATTTGGTTAGTCAGTTTTCTTATGTTGCTTTCAGGATTCTTTGAAGTTTGATTATGACGTGTCTCATTGTGGGTTTTTCCTACTTAGACTTCATAGAGTTACTTAAGACTTGCAGATCCACATCCTTCCTCCAATTTGAGAATGGTTGGCCGTTAATTGTTTCTGCTCTTTTGTTTTTCGCTTGCCCTTCTGGAGCTCCCATAATACATACATTTGTCTGCCTGATGGTGTTTCATGATAACAATCATGATACATATTAAGAAGCATTTTCTAATACTGTACAATACTGTGATTAAATTGAATGGAGAAGAATTCTAGGCCTAGAATTTCTTCAGGTTTTAAGACATAATTTATGGATACATAGAAAATACAAAGGAGCAGTATAGATTTAAACTACCAAAACTACCCGATTACTAAGAATCCCAAAAATATAAAAGATACAAGGTAAGGAGAAAGTTTCTGTAGTAAAGAAACAGCAGGATAAGAAGTTCAACTGAATGTAACTATATAGTAAGTACTCTATAAATATGCAAGGAACTATGTGACATAAGAACTAACATTCCCATCCCTAAAGAGTTTACATTTTTATTGCTGAGGTAAATTTTACATAACAAATATTTAGCACATATAAGTACTGTTACTATGTGTCAATAGAAAGCAAAAATGTATTTTAAAAAGATGTAGCATTATACAGGAAATTAAGATGTATGATAGATAAAACAAATGCTCAGAAAGAAGAGAGATAATGTGATTAATATATATGAAGGTCTCTGTCACTGAGAAACAAGATAAAAACAAATGTAAATGAAAGTAAACCTACAGGAAAGGAGCGAGAAAGAAAGGTAAGGGGCCTTTCATGAAAAGGCTTCTGTTTTCAGGAAATTAAAACAAAATAGGGAGAGGAGCTGCAGACATCTAAGAGGAAAACAGGAGATGGAGAAACACTCAGGACTGAGTAGTGCTCATGCAATGCAGACTTGTGTGGCATCAGCTCACCTGGTCATACAAATTGTGTATATTTGTGTATATGCAATGACCTCTACTAGGTCTCAGTATTACTAGAGCAGCATACTAGAAAGTAGGGAATGGGGAAGTTAGAAAGAGAGGAGTTACATTCAGACAGCTGGGTACTGCAATAGAAGATTTCACTGGTATAAACACAGTATTGCTATAGTGTCCATTAAGATCCAGGTGGCTGAACTGCAGAGGAAGAAAATATCAATGGTGTCAGGGAGGTCAAAACTTATGAGGCTACAATGTTGATGAGAAGGGCAAGAGAATGACTGTTACACGAACATGTGACACTTAAAAAAATAGGAGTTGAGGTTGGAACAGTGGTGGGGACTGAGCCTTAAAAGAAGAAGCTTCTTATGCAGCCTAATGGCTAATGTTACAGCAGGATTAACTGCAGTGTACATAATTTTAATTTTAAAAGTGTGATTAAACTCAAACTATCCCCTTCATCTTGGTAATTAACTTTATAGTTCTCAAAACATCTATATAAAATAAATGTAATAAATATTACCTAATACAAATTCTACACAGAGCCCATTCAAATCATTAAGCCTTCCTTTATGATTTAAATGATTCTAAATTACATTTCATCTTAACATTCAATTTGGCCAAATATAAAACAGAATGTGATATATTCCATTATTTTAAAATATTTTTTCTCTATGTAGAAAACATTCTGATATGAACTGAAAGACGTTAAGAATAGTTTAATTTTTAATATTTAATATACATCAATTATAAATGGAAACCCATACAACTTTTTGCTAATGGGACTCTTAGAAATGGAACTGTCCATCCACATTTCCTGATTTATAAAGAAATAATACTTGTTCTCTGAGATGTGAATAAGAAAAAATACATAAAGTATATCTTCTACATATTTTTAAAAATTCTATGCAAATGCAAATTCATTTATCACAATAAAAACCAAGAAAATGGAACAAAATTTAATAAAATGAAAATAATTCATGAATATTCATTGATTATCTTTTCTTGAATTTACTATGTCCATCAGATACTAATTATCTAGGGATAAAAAACTTCAGTACATTAACTATACATAAAATCTAATAGTTACTTACTGTATAAGAGAAGCTGTTTCAAACTACTGAATGGCTTTTTCACAAAACTGAGTGTCAATGTAATAGGCTCCAAGCCACTCAATGACTTCAATATTAGAAGGGAAATCTCTATATGACTGTAAAAAATATTGAATGTGACAAGTTCAATAGCAACGTATAATGCACACCTGAATTTTTACCCATTGAGTGGATTTATTGATAAAATATGAAATTTTGTAATAATAAAGTAAGAACTGTCATAAGTACTTTGTAAGTTTTGAAACTACATATGATTTAGAACACATAAGCTTTGTTGGACACACTTTTCACTTATCTATAAATATCTTGATACTTACATGTGACCCAAGTTATAGTAAAGATTTAAGAGAATCAAAAAGTGATGCAAATCACGCCTAAAGAGGAAAATGATTAGTTCTTTTTATTTCATTTTTAATCAAAATCAATCAAAAACTGTATTTTAAGAATGTTTTATTTTAAATCATTATTCATTTAAGAATGAATAAGCTTTTCCAAAACTTATTAGTTTCTAAAGGCTGCTCCCATAAAATTTATAAAATGCTAAAAGACAGAAGAAAAGAAAGACAACACACCTACCTCGTAGTAATATTGGAATGCCTGGGATTTATCTCCTGAACTGTCATGTAATTCTTTTCTAAACACCTCAGGAAGATTCAAGGTAGCGTCTAGCAGAGTTTCTCTCTTGGGTAGAAAAAAGGACTTTTAACACTCCAGAACTCCATTCCATCATAGACTTGTATACCTATGCAGAGGGTTTGTCTTGAACATAACAATTATGGACGCTGATTTTAGGCTACAAAGTAAATTCCAATGAGATTTATAGGAAATACTCCAAGTTTTTAGGGGAGATAGACAGACAAAAGTGCTGCCAGCTTGGAGTAAAGGTACAGGTAGAGTCCAAGATGAAAACAGACCACAGGGCCCCCAAAAAAGCAAAAAAGCACATCTTTTCCCTGGTATGTGAAATCCATAAGAAAATAACAGCAACAGTAACAGTAATAAGGGACATGATGTAAAAAGGAGACTATCTGGGGGTCAGCCGGAGGGAAAGGGAAGGGTTCTGGCAGTGAGTGAGATGGAAGGACATTATCTATGTATAAGAAGACAACATAAAGAAACTCACCAAGTACTGTTTGAAAAGGAGGAAGGAGGAAGGGGAGTTAAGGGAGAATAAGAGAGGGAGGGAACTTGTTCAAAGTTCCTTGTACACGTTATAATGAAGCCCCAATACAATTAATATGCACTAATAAAAAGAGTTATAAAACTATTAGTTGCAAACAACAAAACTTACCAGATAATACAGGAAGGAGAGGTTGGTTGCAGCTGCGCTTTTCACTCTACTGTCCTTTTTCACAAACATTTTCAAGGTGTCTTCAGCCTAGAAACGAATATTTGAAGTTATTACCATTGAAGTAAGACAGCACTCCAGTTATGGTAGGAGAAAAGACCAGTGTGGAGGGTAAGATCAGGAAAGGGTACAAGAGGGGTGGCTTACTATGCTTAAGAAAACAGACGAGGTTGGCCACGGCAGCTCATGCCTGTAATCCTAGCTACTTTAGAGGCTGAGATTGGGATGATCACAATTTGAGGCCAGCCTGAGCAAATAGTTCAAGAGAAAACATGTCCAAAATGACCAGAGCAGAATGGAGTAGAGATTGGACTCAAGCAGTAGAGTGCCTGCGTTGCCAGTACGCAGCCCTGAGTTCAAACCCCAATTCACCAAAAAGAAAAGAAAACAGAAGAGTTGGTGGAGAGACAAGAGGATCTTGAGTTAAAGGCCAGTGCAAAGGTAGCAAGACTCTGTCTCAAAAACAAATGAAAACAAAAGGGCTGGTAGCATGCTCAATGGTGGAGCACTTGTCTAGCATGAAGCCTTGAGGCCCTGAGTGCAACACCCAATACCACAAAAAAAAAAAAAAAAAGGAAGAAAAAGAAAGAGGAAGGAAGGAGAACAGATGTCAAGATAAGAATTTCATTCAAGAATCAGAATTTATTAAAAAGAATAAAATGAAAATTGTAAAACCAAAAACATAAGTGAAATGAAAAGTAGCACAGGATGGTTAACAGCAGAGCAGACAGCTGCAGAAAGGACTAAGACTGGAAGAAACGTCAGCAGGGAGCACTGTGCCTGAGTGTGTCAACCCTGCATAACAAGGGAGGGGAAGCTTGAAAGGCTTTACCAACATGACCAAATTAGCTCTTCACAAAACATTCTGCGATTTCTGCTTCTGTCTTTTACAGACTAGTCTACAGAAGACCATTCTCTCACAGAGAATGACTAGAAAAGTTATATAAAATTCTAAAAATATTTTTAAAGGCACTGGAGAAGTAGAGAGGTAGCCAGAACTTGAAGGCCAAGGTCCCAGAAAAAAAAAAAAATTGTTCTTAGAAAAGAACATAAGAAACCAAGCTTGGTGGTGCATGCCTGTCTCAAAAAAAAAAAAAAAAAGTTTGGGCACAGTGGCTCACATATACAATCCCAGCTACTTGAGAGGCAGGGAGGGAAAGGAAGATTGTGAGTTAAGGCAGCCTAGGCAAAAGTTTGCAAGCCTACTTGCCTCTCAACAAGCAAGCTGGGCATGATGGTACATGTCCACAATGCTAGCCAAATGGAAGACAAAGAAGAACACCAGCCCCAGGTAGTGCTTGTCTAGCAAGTGCAAGGCCCTGAGTTCAAACCAGAGTATCACATTAAAAAAAAACAACAACCAAACCCTAAACAAACACAGTGGGCTTTACATAAGTGTAACTGGAATTGTGGAAGGGGAAGAAAGATAAGTGGCTGAGAATTTCCCCAAACTTAATAACTAATTATCTTCCTAGAAAATAATTCTAGGAAAATTACAAAAAAAAGTCATCCAGAGTAGATCTAAATCTGATTACATTTTCTTGGTAATACCTCTTGAACCACACCCCAGCCCTATAATTACATTTTCAAGTCATGAGAAATGAAAGTACGCTTTTAAGCATGTGACAAGCCAAACAGGATATGTGGGAAGGCCAGACACCTCCTGCGAACCGTGAATGAGCACTCAACCTAGAAATTACCGTGGAATATGAGAAAGAAAAATAAAAATAAGTCATGGGCAAAGGATTTGCTTTTCTTCTTTTTAAAATAAATCTACCAAATACAAACTGCTGACTTCCTGGTGCCTCCTGCTTCTGGAGAGCACCTCTGTCCATGTAAAAAACCCAACAACCTTAGCTGCCAACCATTTTAGCTGCCTGTAAACTCCGAGGGTGTCCTGGGCAGGGTCAGCTGGGGAGGGTCCAGGAAGCATGAAAAGTCTATGTGTCTTTTCTATTAAATTCCTATTCTTTTACAGGGATTTTGGTGACTTTATTAAAAAAAATAAGTGGACACTTCGAGGCCAGTAATTCATTAATTCTATAAACACTGGAAAAGAAAACCCCAAATGTTCGTACCTTCTCTTTTCAGATTTTATTTCTCACTTATTTTCTTGGAAGGATCTTTTAAGACTGCCAAAAAGATCCTAAAACAATCAACTCACAAATTATCATGGCTAATTGCTCACCCTATGAACACTATTCCATGAATTCTTTTCATAACCTCCACAGATATTAATGTGAAAGTCAGTGCAGTTTTGGATCTCTAAGTTACCTAAGTTGCAATTTACTTAATTTACTGTGAATAAAAATTGAGGTGTTTTAATCTTCACTTTGACATTGGGTTACAATAAATGTATATTACTTCAAACTGTAAGACACATGAATAGGTGTGATTCATGTATGTATTAAACTCTCTGACATAAAGTGCAGAGGGAAAGAAAACAGTTCTCAAGAATTAATGATCATAGAACAGAATGCAAAAAAACGAATGAGCTGGGCACAGTGGCTCATGTCTGTAATTCCCGTTACTCAGGAGTTAGAGTCAGAAGGATCATATTTTGAGGCCAGCCCAGGCAAAAAATTAGCAAGAACTCACCTCAAACAAGAAGCCAGGTATGGAGATAAACATCTGTTTCACAGCATGGTGAAGGATGTAGGAAGGAGGACCATGGCTCGAGGCCAGCCCTGAGCAAAAGAAAGACCTTATCTATAAAATAACTAAAAGCAAAAAAAGGGCTGTGGGTGGGGCTCAAGTGGTAGAGTCCCTGCCTAACAAGCCTGGAGTTCAATCCCAGATTCTGAAAAGGCTACACAATTATTCTACTAAAAGGAACACTCAGGTATTTTTTGCTTCGGAGGTTCATTTTTGAAACAGGCTGTTTTCCTAATTGTTCTTTACATGTTCAGGAATGTCTATCTAATTTTTCTGTTTTTGAAAATAAAAGATCATAAAATATGTTATTTATAAATGAAACCAATAAAAGTATACTGAATGTCAATATTAAGTTTAGTTAAAATTAGCTGTAAATAGCTAGAGAAAAACTGGAGATAAATATTGTTAGTTTGGACTTTTTCCCCCTTCTGACCATGTTGTTTTTGGTTTCTGTGGGGATGCCCACAGTTCCCAGTTCTGGACTCCCAGAACCACTCCCACTGGTGCCCAGACCTGTCTCCAATCTTCCTCCACTGTGGCCTTCTTGGCAGAGCGTTTCCTCTATTACGAAAGCAGTTACAAAAGCCTCCACTATTACAGAGAACTACACTCAATGACTTCAGCATCTTTTCTTAACGAAAAAACTATTGGAGGTATATCTGAAATGATATCCTTACAAAAGAAGGCATAAGTTCTTCTCTTTTACTCTGAAAAGAAAATGAGGTAGTCTTCATTAAATGATCACTGCGAGATATGTCAACTCAGTCCTTTGTAACCTAATGACTTTCCTTTCAAAGAAAGACTATATTCACCTCATCGTACTTATAAAATACAAAGGAAACACAATTCAAAGCAGACACAATGAAAAGAAGGAAGAAATGCCATTTAAAAACATCAGCAAACTGATACTAAAAACTTGAACATTCAAATGGAACAGAAGATATTTGGAATGAGAATAGTAAGGAAAGCAGCAAATGAATTTGGACATGAAAAAGTGAAGAGTATTTATTCCTTGAAAAACACAGTTTTATACATAAACTATGTTTAGTATTTGGGAGGTGGGGAGTCAAGGATAGAGATTTGAGGCCTGCCTGGGCAAAAAGTTCACAAGACCCCATCTCAACAAATGGCTGGGTATGTTGGTTCATGCCTGCCATTCAAGCTACATGGGAAAGCACAAATAGGAAGGTAGTGGCCCAGGCTGGCTGGGTTATAAAAGCAAGACCCTATCTCAAAAATAACCAACAGAAAAAGGACTGGCAGAGTAGTTCAGGTGACACAGTGGCTGCCTACCAAGTGTGAGGTCCTGAGTTCAAACTCTAGTACTGCCAAAAAACTTTAAAAATAAAAATACAACATGAACCAGGGCAATGCATGGTAACCCTTTCTATTTTTAGAAAAGTAAAATATCAAGAGAAAATGGCCAAATATAATTCTCTCCATTTTTTCCCCTAGAACAGTACACTTCAAACTCATAAAAATTGTTTTTTGGTTCCAAGATCACATCATCAAATAACAAAAAACAATTTTTTTCACTTTGTTCACTTCTGCAAAAACATTGCAAGTGTGAGAGAGCTTCACGCTAAAAGAATTACGTGTAGTAAATTAACATGCACAATGGAATTACTGCTTTTTCAGTTTTTTAGAAAAGGTCCTGCACGTCTACCAGGCTGTCCTTGGATCATGATCCTCTCACCTACGCCTCCAAGTGGCTGGGGTTACAGATGTGCCTCGCATGCCCAGCATGCTTTTGTTAACTTCTCACCCTGTGCGGTCAGAAACAAAACAAAAATGCCTACTGCATCACTGCTTTTTTTTCTTTTCTTTTCAGTACTGGGGTTTGAACTTACGGTCCCGTGCTTGCTAGGCAGGTAGACTCTACCCATTTAGCCACACCCCAGCCCTTTTTACTTTTAGTTGTTTTTTGAACAGAGTCTCATGTTTATGCCCAGGCCAGCATGGACTGCAATCCTCCTATTTTTACTTCCATCTTAGCTGGGATGACAGACACACACCATCACATAATGACTGAAATGGGGTCCTCACAAGCTCTTGCCTGCTGACCTCGAAACACAATCCTGATCTCTTCCTCCCAAGGAGCTAGGATTACAGGCATGAGCTACTTCAACTGGCTAAAATGATTTTATTTTTTTGTTTATTTGCAATTCTGGAGGTTTGCGTTCAGGATTTCATGATTGCAAGGCAGGCATTTATTTGAATCACACCTCAAGCCCTATTAGCTCTGGTTATTTTGGAGATGGGTGGGGTCCCACCTTTTTACCCAGACCAGCTTGGACCATGGTACTCCTACTTCAAGCTTCCTGCTGTGGCTGGGATGACAGGCATATGCCATCACATGCAGCTTTTTTCAGTTGAGATGGGAGCTTGCAAACTTTTTTTTGCCTGGGCTGGCCTGGAACCACATCCTCCCAATCTCAGCCTCCCAAGTGGTAGAATTATAAGCATGAACTTGTTTACAATTGGTGTATGTGCTTTATAGTTCATTTTTTAAGAAAGGTCAAAGGCAAAGAAGTTAAAAGAAACATAGCAAGAATGCCAGAAGGAGTTCTAGTGAAGATCATACATAATTCCAAGATTAACTTTTCCAAACCTGGGTGAAAGCACTGAAAAAAAATTTTTCTGCCCCATTTAAGAACGGGTGAACCTTTCCTTTTGACAAATTCCTCGGCCAGGGACAGTCAAGAACTACTGGCATGGTGGAACATGAGCAGTGTTCTTATTCTGGATGTATTGCACAGAACCCGGAGGCTTTAGAAAACTTGATCCCCAAGCCTCAACACATAGCGATGCAGATTTAGTTAGCATTGAGCACAGTCCCGGCCTTGAGAATGTACCCAGTACACGCAGCCGAAGGTGGCACACTGTAAAGAGAGTGTGGTGCGTGCCATAATCACTGGGTGGGGGGGCGTGCAAATGCTTGCTCCTAACTTCACAATTTGTCTCAGATGCTCATGTTCTCTTTTTGGTGCTGGAGAATGAACCCGGAGTCTTGGGCATACTCAACATAGCTTTACCAGGAGCTACATTCCCAGTCCCTATCTACTTTTAACAAGTAACCGAGGCAATTCCAATTAATACAAAGTTTAAAAATACAAAGTTTCTAAATTTCATTCTCTGTCCTTAGGAAAGTCAGTACATTCTTTTTATAATAAACTTTCTTAGCCACAAAAAGACAAAACAATACCGGTAAAGAATCCAAAAACATAGTTGTCTTCAATATACTTAAGCTGCAAAAAAACTTTTTGCCACAACTTATGGTACCAATTTGACATCAGAACTGAGCAGACACTGTTTTTAGAAAAAAATGTATTGTAATTACTTTGATAATAATATCAATCATCTTTTGAAAGCTAGATATTGGCATAGTCCAGATTTCAACAAATTTAAACATTTAACAGATAGCAAAACACTACAACCACTTTTTAAAATGTTAAAACATTTAACAGACAGCAAAACACTACAACCATTCCACTAGAGGCATGGCTCAAGTGGAACAGCACCTGCCTAGCAAGTGAAGCCCTGACTGAGTTCAAACCCCAGTACCACACACACACAAACAAAAGGAAACAAAACAAAAACAGGAAAATAAATAAATAAAATAACCCCATCACTAATCATTAAATTTTTAAAAAATGAAAACTAGCTTTTAAAAAGCCAGACCTTGAGCTCAAACCTCAATATTGAAAAAAAAAAGTAAATAAAATTTAAAAAGATCCAAATTTAAAAAAAAAGCAGAAAATCATCTATTTTTATTGAAAACTGCTTCCCTTTCATTGAATAACTTTAAATGTAGAAATACAGAACTGCCTAAAGCAATAAACTAAATAGAAGGCTCCATATTGACTTCTTTCTTGTTGAAGATCCAAGAGCTGGCAAATTTTGTGAGAAATTGCCAGGTCACATCTAAAGAAATGGAGGTCTATCCATTTAACACAAAATAAGACACAATGCAGGTTGCAAAAGCAATCCTGAAATTTCCAGAAATTTTAACAATTATGGTAAGAATTATATTAAGATCATTATGTTCCTTGCTAGAACAAAAAAAAATTTTGTTAAAAATATTGAGCCAGAATAAAGCAAGTATGTGAGGGCAAAGGTGGCCATCAGTAAGAGAACAGGTTAAGTCTTCTCCTCAGATTCCTCCTTTCATTATGTAGACTCCACACAAAGCACATCCCAAAACTTACCTTTCCAAAGAGATGCCAATATTTTCACATTTCATAGCAGCTGCTTATCAACATGTCTTAAGCCAGCCTGTCTTTCCTTTCATGTGAGGCTATCATTTTACCAAAGAAATATATTCAAACAAAAGCATACAGACTGGTATGAAGCACAGGTTACAAAAATGAATGTCCTAATTGAATGTATTAAAAAAGCAAAAGTAAGACTATGCGTCAGTACAATCACCTAGTCAGGCCTGAGCTTGAGTCTATTATGATGAAAGTAATTAGCATTGGTAAGCTAAAATTTTACTTAGAGTCAATTGTAGTCCTGATGGTTGGCATTTTGATAAATGCTCAATATTTTACTTAGAAACCAACTGCTAGAATGAAAAGACAACTCTAATCATCATTTTAAAAAGGTAAAAACTTAAGTATGTATGCACTTGCAAATATTAAGATAATTCATGTTAAATTTAGCAATACAAATCATTACTATTTGGCACAAAGATAGGACTAAAAGAACAGTGTTCATTTATTGTGAGGTGGCTATCCCCAAATCAAGGATATCTTAGATGAGAACCAAGTTTGCTGTACAAAACGGGATCTGGTAGGCCAGGTATAATGGCTCCTATGTGTACTGCCAGCAACATGGAAGGTGGAGAATGGGAAAATTGCAGTTTGAGGTCAGCCCAGGCAAAAAGTTAGTGAGACTCCATCTCAACAAATAAACCAGGCCTGGTGAGCATACCTACAATCTCAGTTGTGTGGGTAGCAATAAGTAGAATCCTGTTCCAAAGCTAGCCCTGGGCAAAAAACATAAGACCCTACCTGGAAAAATAACTAAAGCAAAAAGGGCTCGGGGCATGGCTCAAGTGGTAGAGCACCTGCTTAGCAAGTTTGATGCCCTGAGTTCAAACCCCAATACTGCAAAAAAAAAACTCATAGTGAAACTGAAGCCTCCAGTGCAAACTCAAGACAGGACAGAAATGGACTCCAAGGAACAAAATAGATTCCAAGGCATAAATACTATCTGAAAGACATAAGGATTTAATAAACAAGGCATATGTTCCTTCAATTAACAAGAAATAAAAAAGCAATTAGAATTTAGGTTGTAACACTTGGGGTGTACCTACCTAATTTCTTCACCATTACGTGTATTCTGGATTTTAAAAATTCTGGTAAGATACTATGCAGAAGAGGTCAGAGACTCACTCTGTGTTGGTTCAACAGATCAATACAGGAGTTTCTTGAAGGGCAGATTGGGGTTCAATACAAGGAAGATTTTTAAAAACCCTTACAGATATTTAAAAAAAACCCAAACAAACGGATGCCGTAATATTCCAAGCAGAAATTAAGCGTTCACCTACACAAGATGCTACAAGAGAAGTCCCACGCTGTGTGGAAGAACAGAACAAATTCAACCACTCAACTCATTTAACAAATGACCTGAGAGTTCCCAATTCTGAAATGCTTCACTTCTCTCTAGAAAACATATCAGGAGATGACAGTGTCTTAAGAGCAATTGCTCAGCATGGAAAGTTTAGTACTGTTGACAAAATGAAGGCAGAAAAATGAAAAAAAAAATAAAGGACAATAAAAAAAAAGCACAGGTCAGAATGCTTGCAGCAGAAGTGACCATAAGAGCAGCACGCTTGTTCTGAGGACGTGGGTCACAAAATGACACAGCAGCAAGACAAGTAAGTACCTTGTCAGAACTTTTACAACAGCCAGACACACCTCAGTATGCAGTATTATCTGCTTGATAAGTGCAAATCAATGGTAATATTTCTTCACTTTCTAATGACAAGATTACTTTTAAATCAATAAAGTGTAAAGTATGAAAAGTGTATTCGTGCAATCTTATTGAATTTCTCTCTTACCAGTTATAACCTACAGCAAAAGATGTTTCAATTACAGGTGCAATGAGTTTTGCAGCTGTCAGGATGTATTTTTCTGCCATGGCTTTCCTAAATTAAACAAACAAAAAGTTCCATTTAGAAACATGATATAAAATACTTTAAATTTAGTTTGTAAAACTTAAGTGCAAACATTGCTTGTCAAAGCAAACATACCATAGAAGCTATTGCTTATTAACAGATGGACAGCTACATCAGAAATCTGTCTAGAAATAAGTTTAAAAAAACCACAACTAAGGCATCACAACTGCCTTCTGGGCTACTACTGTTCTTTTTCTGCCTCATGATACCTTCCAACAAACTAAAGAAACAGAGGCACACGAGAGTAGACACAAGACTCCGAGCAAGACTTATAGAACCTACACTTTGACATAAAGGTGTAAGAGAAGTCCAACATTTTCTTTTGCGCTATGTGTTGAAAAGATTATCCTTTCCTCATTAAACTGACTTGGAACCTTCACTAATTCTGGCTTTATATCTGAACTCTCAATTCCATTCTACTGATTTGCAACTCTGTATTTTTGCTAATACCACAATTTTGACAGCTGTACCTTTTCTTTCTTTTTTTTCTTTTTGCAGTGCTGGAACTCAGAACCTATACCTTGAGTCACTCCACCAGCCTGTTTTTGTGATGGTTTTTTAAAGATAGGGTCTTTGAACTATTTCCCCAGGCTGACTTTGAACCAAGATCCTTGTGCTCTCTGCCTCCTGAGTAGCTAGGATTACAGGCCTGTATGTAGCTTTGTATGAGTCATCCAATTTTACTTGTCTTTTTTCAGCACTGTTTAGGCTATTCTGAGTCTCTTACATTAACATATGAATTTCAGGATTAACTTGTCACTCTGCAAAAACACTGCTGGGATTTTTATAAGGATTGCATTGAATCTGTTAAAACATTTGCACAGCACTGTTACCTTTAAAAAAACATCAGTGCATAAACCCACAAAATAAAGTCATTTTTCTATATGCCTTCAATGTTTTATAGTTTTCAGTGTTAAGTTTTGTATTTCTTTTGTTAAATTTATTCCTAATAATTACTAGGCTATTGTAAATATAATTGTTAATGTTTCGGATAGTTCATTGGTAGTGTTACTGATTTTTGTATGTTGACTGTTTTCCTTTGCAACTTTGTCACACTCTTGTTGTATTAAGTTTTGAATGGACTCCTTAGGATTTTCTATATACAAGATCTGTTACTTGTTTCTGTCCAACTTGGATGTCATGCTGAACAGAACTGTGAAAGTGCATGCCCTCATCTTGTCCCAGCCTTGCACCCTGCATGTGCTGTCACATATGTGGATGTTCATCACATTCAGGAACTTCCTCTACTTTTAGCTTCTTGAGTTTATTTTTTAATCATGAAAGCACTTTAGTTTTCGTCCAGTTTTTTTCTACTGAGATGGCATGTGGCTTTTGTCCTTTATTCTCCTAATATCCTAGGTTATATTAATTGATTTTCAGATCTCAAACCAATCTCCTATTCCTGGAATGAATCCCACTTGACAGTGGTACATAATTATTTGCTAATATTTTGGCTTGCTAGTGTTTTCATGAGGATTTTTGCATGGATATTCATAGGATATTGGTCTCTGGTTTTCTGTGGTCTCTGAGTTTGGTATCAGGATAATATTAACTTCACAAAACAAACTATTTTCTGGACAGACCATGTAAAATTGATGTAAATTCTTCATTAAAGGTAAGTTAGAATTCTCTAAAGCCATGTAGGCCTGGACATTTCTTTTTCTGGAGTTTTTAAATTACAAATTCAATTTCCTTAATACATACAGAGCCATTCAGATGAGCTATTTCATATTAGGTGAGTTATAGTTTGCTGTTGAGAAAGCGGTTCATTTCACCAAGCATGTCAAATTTATGTATAAAGAATTATTTGTACTAATTTTGTTATCCTTTTGATGTCTTCAGGTGTAGAAGGATAGTCCAATTTATTTTCATATTGGTAAATTTTTGTCTTCTTTCTTCCTATTCATGTATTCACATGTGCATACATTGTTTGGGTCATTTCTCCCCCCTTGTCTTCTCTTTTTTGTCAGTCATGCATAAGAAGTTTGCTGGTTTTATTGGGCTTTTAAAAAATAAGCTCTGTTTCATTCACATTTTCTATGGTTTCTGTTTTCAAATTAGTGATTTCTATTCTTTTCTTTCTTTCTTTCCTTCTGCTTCCTCTATTTTGGTTTTGCTCCACTTCCTTTGGGAGCATGGCTTACTAAGACTTTTCCACTATCATTTTTAACATTTCTCTGTAGACAAGGTGGTATTCTTCTCTAGTTCACAACTTTTTATCGCCCTTAATTTCAGGAGTTTAATTATGAGGTATCTTGATATGGATTTCCTTGTGTTTACTCTGTTTAGAGTTTACCAGGCTTCTGGAATTGCAGATTTATTTTTCTTGCCAAATTTGGGTAATTCTTAGTCTTTCTTTCTCTCCCTCCCTGCCTTCCACCTGTCTCACTACGTCGCTCAGGCTGGAGTTGAGCTTGCTGTATAGCCCAGACTGACCTGGAACTTGTGATCCTCCTGCCTCACCCTCTAAGTGAGTGAGCCACCATAAAGCTTAGTTATTATTTCCTTAACCACATCCTCTTTTATGTGATGACATAAATGTCAAGGGTGCCACATGTTCCTGGGACACTGTTCATTTTTAATTCATTTTCTACCTATTCTTGGGAATTTCTGTTTTCTATCTTGAAGTTCACTAAATCTTTCCTCTGTTCCCTCTGTTTTACCAGAGCCCATAAAATAAATTTATTTCAATTATATTTTTAGCTTTAACAGTTCCACTTCATACTTTATGTATTCTATTCATTTTCTGAGGTTATTCCTTTTCTGAGGTTTTCTATTTTTTCATGTTCTAAGCATGTTTGGAACTGCTCATTGAACTGTATTACGTTTAACTCTATGAGTCAGGACACAGAACTACCTGTTTTGTTCTTAACACATTTATAACCATGGTTTGGCTCTCTGCCCAAAGGTAAGTTTGAAAAGGTCAAAGAAAGGATCTGAGGTTCCATGGTCAACATAATTAGTGACATCTAAATCTTACTTTTAATAAAATTCACTCTTGTTACTTTTCACTAAAACATGCAGCCTGTTTTAATCTCTAGCATCACTTTAACAGAATCCCATTTTTGACTTATTTTAAGTAACGAATAAAATACATCAATAACAAAACACATTACATAGGCCTGTCAAAAAAATCAGTCATCATGTACCGACTTTCTCATTTCTAGAAACAGAAAAACACCAGTAAGTAGGACATGGCTATTTAACTTTCTTTTTCATACTCAAACTTGGCGAAATGTATTTATCATCTTTGTCAATTTCTAATGGAACAGCAATCAATTTTTGGAATGCCTTCTTCATTTTTTCTTGATCTCCAATGGCATAATAACACAGAGTTAGGTTGTAGCCTACCTTCTGATTTGATGCCGTATTCATTATGTGTTCAAATGAATTAATGGCATCTGAATACTGACCAGTTTGAATAAATGTAACTCCAATGTTCTGTATTATTCTAATCCTAAATAAAAATAAACACACATGAGCCAAAAAATCGTCATTCTTTACTATGGCACTCAAGCTCTTCCACAAATAGTTTTTTTTTCTTTATGAAAAAGTAAGTTTTCATTTCTCTTGCATACATACCTAGGAATGAACTGCTGGTAAATGCATGTTTAACTTTTAAAAAATTGCCTGTCTTCCAAAGTAGCTGTACAATTTTACATAACCAATGCATGAGGCTTCCAAATCCTTGACATCCTCATCAATACCGGTTGTTGCCTATCTTTTTGAGTAGAACCTTCTAATGGATGTGATCCTTATTTCCAGCTACTTCTCCACAGGATCCCACTATTTCAACTAATTTATTCATAATTAGCTGACTGGCTCATGAACACTTATGTCCCTGATTCACTGTCTGCTGTTCCTTTTATCTGGACTGTTATCCCTTCTCTGTTTAAGTAACCTATATCAAGTACACCTTCTTCATATAGTCTTTCTTGACTCAATAATTACTCCCTCAGCTGAATTACTACAGCACTCCTCTGTCTCAAGGAGTAAGTATTTAACATATATTGCCTAATATTATCATTCTCTAAAATGCTCAAATTCTTGGTCTTATCTGGGTTCAAAGACCTCCTGGGCATTGTGCCCTATAAGCTATATAACATCTGCTGGGGATAAGATATTTTGCAAAAGTCAAAGCCAATCATGAAAGCTGGCATTTACAAAATAAATTAGTATTAGAGATGAAATGTTTCTTGTGCCTAGAGGAAATTATCACCAGTAAACACAGTTTCTGCTCTTGAATATCAGAGGAGCAGAAAATATCCAACTTCTTCCTCTTCTAAGATTCAAAATAATCCCTTCCTTTCACTATTTCACTCTCTAGCTTTAGAAACAAAGTAGTGCTGGCATTGAGTTGCATCATGGGACCAGAGGCCTGGGTAGCTAACCCTGCATTGATGACACAGCTTAGTTTTATTTCACTGGATCACATACTACACCTTTAACTCGTCATTCTACAAATGCCTGTAAGTAGTTTCAAGGGAAGAGAGAAATACTACACATGTAACAGAAATATGATACTTCTGATGTGCAACACTACAAAATGTTCAACACACGGACAATAGATCAAAAGAATTACACTGTATTTAAAAAACAACACATGAATTTTGCAGTGATCAAGGTATACACTTACCTCATTTCTTTATGGACACTTGGGATCTGATCTAAGGCCATTTGGTAGAACTTAAGAGCTTTGGAATAATTTCTTTGCTTTACATAAATATTTCCCATATACACTTTCAGTATCCCTAATTTAAAAAAATAGTGAATGTATAATATTCTCATTTTTTCATTTTTTCTATGATATTTTAGTGACCGTAATTCACATTCTCTAAGCTTTTCTAAAGTGTTAAAGCTTCAGGCATTACCTAAAATTCTAACTTTAAAATAGTTATAGTACTGTCATGTACTCACACACTAATCTGTGAGAAAATGGAACTGAAAACAGGCTGATTCCTGAAAACAGGGTTAAAAAAACTGATTTACATTATAAAACTAGAATTGTATTCTACAAAGAAAAACATGGGACAAGACATTTTAAAATTAGACTCAATAATGCCACACATGTTAATATGATATTAAAGGAAATGATGGTATGATAAACCTTAATGTTGCAATAAAATATATATAAATGCTAATATAAACTATGTTTGCTTGAGAATATATTCACATAAAGGAAAGAATGTTCTATGGGTGGTCATGGCTCATTCTACTTATGATGACAGAATACATTTTTGGTTTACCATGAGACAACATACTTCATACCAACTCTACTTCATTTGTATCTGTGTGGATTTTCACATAAATAGTATCTTTAACCAGGACATTTTGTCATAAACATAAATTTGCTTAAACCATACATCATTTCATTATAAGAAAACATAAAGTGAGATGATGTAAATTAACACTACAAAAGAACAATAAAACTACTTGAAAAACTCGTTTCATTTACCAACCTGCATTGCTAAACATCTTATTTTTCACTAGAACTTGACAGGTGTTTAGTGCTTCAGCGTACATTTCTTTAGCTGAATAATGACTGGCCAAGTTGCAAAGAACCTGAGGAAGAAAACATCGCAAAAGATATATAAGGACCATTCTACATCCCTTTCACTTAACAGTCTTTTGAGAGATTAAAATCCTGTAACAAAGTTAGCTACTTATATCCAGATACTCAGCCAATTTAGAAGTTAAAATAGAAAAGAAATATCTTACATTCAAATAAACTAGAACAATAAGACGTGAAAGGGTGTCCTACAAACTTTACTTAACTTTTTAATTTTCTATGCATTTTATGTTAATTTAGCTTCTATTTACTATCCTTGAATCTCAGGAAGACCTACACAGAATAAATGTGCATGGTTCATGCTACTGGTGATAAAGTAAATAAGTAAGAGAATGGATGAATTCTCTTGTAAATATAAATTAAGCATAATGTGGAAATATCTTAAACACTGAAGTGTAACACAGAAGATTTTGTATATCGAGCGCTCTATATACAAAATTATAGTTTAAGGCATTATGTTATAGGACCTTATGTTTACTAAATAAAAAAGGACCACCATAAATTATCCCCTGAAGATTTGTGGCCTTTAAAAATATTAGCTATAAACATCTAATAGTTTATAAAGTTTCAAATCCTCCTTTTATCATTTGCTAAGCACATCAGGACTTTACTCACTGAGAATACACTTTTTGGGGGAGAGGGAGTTCTGGGATATGAACTCAGGGCTTCACCCTTGCTAGGCAGGTACTCTATCACTTGAGGCACACCTCCAGCCCTTTTTGCTCTGGTTGTTTTGGAGATAGGATCTTGCTTCTTGCCCAGGCCAGCATGGACGGCAATCCTCCTGTTTTAAGCTTCCAACCACAGCTAGCATGGCAAGCATGAGCCACCACACCCAACCACAGGTTGAAATGGGGTCTCGTGAACATTTTACTTCCAATCTCAATCTCGCGAGTAGCTAGAATTTCAGGTGTAAGTCACCAGTGCTCAGCTGAGAATATATCCTTTTAAACAGCAGTATAAACAACAAGGAAGTATCTCTTCAGCATTCAAGAAATTTTGCTAGATATCAAAGGCATTATTTTTTTATCACTACCTTCACAACATTACCTTATTTGCTAGTCGTTGAAAATCACTGACTCAAAAGTCTACATTAGAATCTTACTAAGATAGCCAACCTGAATAGAGTGCAAATATTAGCAATCTTCATAGAACGGTGGGTTTACAATTACTAACAATTAAAAAATAACTGGGCTGGAAGCTTATGGCTCAAGTTGTAGAGCATCTGCCTAGCAAACACAAGGCCCTAAATTCAAACCCCAATACTGCCAAAACAAAACAGAAAAGAAACCAACTTGCTGAATAAGTAAATAAAAGAGATCTTTGCACAAACTAAAGACAAGAGTGTCTCATGAACTAAAGACTATTATTAATCTAATTCTGAGTACCCATGAAACGGTCAGATTTAAGACAACAAGAGGCAAAAATAAAAAAGACATTATGGTGAAAGCAAAGGACAGGGAGAAGATACTACGTTAAAAGAAAGGAGTTTGAATGCTTTAATCATAAACAATGAACAATGTCTGAGCAGACAGGTATGTTTAACCTGCCTTAATGGTTACGTAAATGGAATGCCCAAAGATCCTAGTCAAAGCAGATTTTACTCAGCAGATATTTCAGTACTTACTGAGTAAGTTACATCCAAATTGATATTTTCTGGACTTGTAAGTTGTTCTCGTTGTCTCACCAGAACTCTCTCTTTTCTTCCTGCCTCCTTTGCTTTTTCCAAGGCCTGAAATGAGGTTTGTACTTTGTAAAATCAACTCTGCACAGTCATCAACTTTTATGCCTTTTGGAACTATCTTGTAAAATTTGGCTGAATTCATCTCCAACCTTGGATTTCCTGGTATGCCCCTACACTCTTACATAAGCTTCCCTTGAAAACAAAAGAGTGTAGACTATTGTTGGAACTGGAAACTGGAGCTCACCATCACAGAATTGTCTACAGGGATGTTCTGGGAAAGTAGGGGTAAGTGTGAGGGACAACATGTAGGGTATGTTTGCCCCACGTTTCTCTACCAAACATCTTCCATGATATTTTGGGTTTCAACATACATACCTATCTTCTCTTCCCTCCTAATTCTTCAATCTTTGAGTATTTTAATTCAATTTTATGAGGCAGGAATTTAGATGGATTTTGTTTGGCTTTTGAAATGCTCAAAATACAAGCCAAAGGAAACTGTTGCTTAATATTATAACAGATGCTTAGGTTGACTCCTAACTTACTCAGAATGCCAAGAGCAAATGCAGTAAGAGACTTTGCTTTTATAAACTAGATTTAAAAAAAAAATCACCAGTTGTATGTGCAATAAAAGTAGCTTTGTCAACAAACATTTCTCTTTAATTGTAGGCATTATTAACCTGATAAATAAGTCACAGAAATTATAGTTAACTTTTCAAAACAGAGCTGGGTTCCTAAAAACCAAACCATGATTTTGGGGTTTACCTAGGAAAACATTTCAACAAGAAAAGAGCATTTTAAGGGCTGAGGATATGGCTCAAATGATAGAGCACCTGCCTAGCAAGTGCAAGACCCCAAGTTCAAACTCAGTATCACCAAAAAAAGAAAAAAATAAATAAAAATCCAGCATTTAGTACTATGTGTGATACATGATAGATACGATTTTTGGAGGCATTTGGAAGTCTAATTTATTAGTACACCAGGCTGCATAATTAAATCAACCAATAGAAATTTGCCACACTAAAAAAATGTCGAAAATTACAAAATCAGCCAATTATCCTGATAGACAAACTTCTGAAGCAAGGTTATAATTCCCAATTCTCCAAATAGTTCCTTCAGGTAAAACCCTAAGACCAGTCAATGGCAAAACACAAATATCTATATATGTGAGTACACAGAAAAGCACACATACATCTACAAACATTTCACAATCTTTTAATGATTCATGAACTTACCACTTTTAAGTCTCCACAACTGTTGGCAATACAATTTTTTTCTACCAACTTATTTACTTCCTTCTCTAGTTGCCTGATCTTTTCTTCTGGACTGTTAAAGAAAAAATTGGGTGTAATTTATATCATTCAACCACTAATCATCTATACCAAAATTTAATTTACTTTTTACATTATTATATGCTCTTAAGTTTTAAAAGTAGGTCACAGATCAGACAGGTACTTCAACAGCATTAAAAAGCAAATATATTTCTGTACTTAACTATATTATAAAATGAAACATAATAGTAAAAATAGCTAACATTTATTTAGTACAAGTATAATAAATTACATACTGAGTTAAATGCTTTATACTAATAATGTCATTCACTCGTCTTAATACAAGTACTATCATTACTTCTACTTTACTGAAAAGGAAGATGAGGTTTAGAAAGTCAAGTACTTGGTTCAAGATCACAAAGCTATGAACCAAGTTATAGAGCCAGGGTTTCGACCAGCAAGGGCCTCTAGGACCCTTGCAACTACAATATCATCCCCAAGAAAGAAGTAGATCTTTTTCAGATTGTATGACAAATGAATACATTACCTTATGACTAGAGAAACAGAAGCCCCATAAAAAGAGACAAAAAATTACTTATGATCCAAAGATGCTGTAGAGAAACTTTCTAATGAAGTGAAGAAGTTTAAAAATTGTGGCTCCATTAAGAGCAAATTATTCCAAGGCTGTGGCTATAGCTCGGTGGAGAATACTTACCTCCCATGTGCGTGGCCCTGGATTCAATGCTCAGCTCCCCTCCCCAAAAAAGCAAATTATCCCCACATCAATCACATTTCAAAATAACACGAATGTTATTTTGTTACCACTTTTTTCCAGTAAAAAACAGTAACACTCTGACATTCAATGCCTAAATAAAATCTTACTAAAGATGCATCCAAACAGACAGCAATTCTCTCAATTCTATTCAAAAGGACTTTCAAGAAACACAGGAATAAATGTAACAGTATACTTTATCTATAGAATCATAGTCTGGGGAACCTGTGTCTAAGACTATAAATCTATTAGTTTATAAAGATGTTTAAAATTCTAACTGAGCAATGACCATAACAAATGAGAAGTTTTATAAAGGTTACAATGAAGTTTAAATGCTATTTGCCAGTTGTCTGAAACACTAATAAATGTCTTAAATGTAGCTTACAGATTAGAAATGTTAAAAACATTAATAGAAAAATTTTAAGCTAAAAATCTGCAACAGATTTTTAGGAAGACACTCGAAAAGTCATATGTCCTGACCATAACCAAGACAAGAAAATCAATGTGCAGACACTGCTGGATATTTGCCTACTGAGTCTGCTTCCTACACTAGTCTCATCTTGGACTGAGCGTGTCATGCATTCATGATCAATGCAAAATAAAGGCACATCTCCTTGAGAGCTTCTGTCAAAATTTTCTTTGCTTTTTAAAAGGAACCTACCCAAGCACAGTGGCTCATGCCTGTTATCTCAGCTACCTGGGAAATGTAGAGAGGAGGATTCCAGTTGGAGATTAGCCAGGCAAAAAAACTTACTGAGACCCTAGGTCAAGAGAAAAAGCTCAGCATGAAAGTACACACTGCAATCCAAGCTGTGCAGAAGACATAGGTAGGAGGATCACAATCCGAGCAAAAAGGTAAAAAAATAACTGAAGCGAAACAACTGAAAATTAATTAAACTTAACAAAATTAAGTTAATTCTATAAAAAATCAAATTGCTAAGCTGGGCACTGGTGGCTCATGCCTGTAATTCTAACTACTTGGGAGATCACAGTTTGAGGCCAGCCCAAACAAATGGTTGGCAAGACCCGATCTCTAAAATAACCAGAACAAAATGAACTGGAGGTGTGGCTCAAGTGATAGAGCACCTGCTTTGCAAGTGCAAAGCTCTAACTTCAAACCTCAGTTTCACCAAAAAAAAAAAAGAAATTGTTCAAAGGATGGAGCTCAGTGATACAGCATATGCTCTGTAAGAGTGAAGCCCTGGGTTTGATCCCACCGCCACGCACGCACAAAAAATTAAATTGCTCAATAATAATCTAACTTACTATGGGTTCTCCTATTTTTTTCTTTGAAATGTCTTTTTATACTAATCATCTTATTACAATTATAATCCTGTTTAGTCTTTGAGAGAATCACTGTTAGCAATCATAAAACCTAGACCACATCTTGGATCAAATAGTCCAATAAAAGTGCACAGAACAGAACACACGTGACTATTCTTAGATTTGATTCCTTTGCTAGTTCCGAGAGTGAGGAAGGACATTTTAATTATTGTCCTGCTGACACAAACGTTTGCAGTTATGTATCTGGAAAATAAAAAACGTGCAGCAACAACAAAACAGCAGCATAAGGATTTGCATACCTATCTTCATTTTTGGTTTCCAGAGGAGGTGCAGGGCCCCTGGCCTGACCAAGGGGATCAAACGCAGAGCCTGAGACATAATTCAAGAATTGATAGTTAATTTGCAACCCAACAAAATTGAAGAAAATATGAAATGTTGTACAAGCTATTTCATTTACCTACTAATTAAATGGCTTAGATTATCTATTGAATGGATATATTTTTATTATGTCTACATAAATATTTCATGTGTAAGGAAATTGGGAAGATTTTTAAAATACATGAAACTATATAAACAGGATTTGTGGAATAACATGTAAAAACAAAGATAAGATATCTCTTAGCATTCACTTTCTCCCCCACAGTGATCTATATATTGCTAGTATAAACTCTAAACTATCATCCTGTGAATTATATCCTAGCATTGGTGTTCTAATTTTCCTTATTGGTATAGCAAATGCTAATTTTGGTCAGGAATCTATTATTAATTATTATTTAACTTATATACTTAAATAATATTTTTACTTTCATTTTTTAAAATCAGGCTCTAGTTTATACAAAATAAAATGTACATATTTCAAGTACATATTTTAATACATTTTGACAAATTACACTTGTTTGACTACAACTCAAATTAGCTATACGGCAATTTCATCACCCTTTTCCGTGTGTGTCTGTCTCTGTGTGTGTGTATTTAAGACAGCATCTTACTATGTAGCCCTGACTGGCTTTGAATTCATGAACTTCCTGCCTCAGCCCAAGTGCTAGGATTACAGGCATGTACCACCATACCCAGCTTACTTCCCTCTGCCCCAACCCTCTGCAGGGCTAGGAATTAACCCAGGGCACTTGCACTTGCACATGCTAGGCAAGCACTCTACCAATGAGCTACATTCTAGCCCCTCTTTTCCTTTCTAATGGTATCTAAAATAATGGTGCATTTTATAATCAGGGGCATGTTAGATTTTATTTAATGGTAATAACACATATACATACAAAATCAGTTTAAAAAAGAGATATAAAAAATCATTAGTAGAGATAGCATAACAAACCTCTCAAAGCTACTTTGATAAAACCAGCTGCTCTCACTGCTGTCATGGGTCTAGTAACTCCATCCTTCAACGAATAGGAATGGTTTCAAAAGTAAGGAAAATCTACCTGCCATTTACAAGTCTGCACATGACACACACTTTAAGACAGCCCCAATTTTTAATTACTATGTGCTTATTCCTCACTTTTCCCTCCTCACATATCAAACCTGTGTCTATTTTCTCTTCCTCTATAAAACTTCAATTCCTTGATCTAACTGGGCTTCTCTCAGTTTTAAAAACAGAAAACTAACTGGCTCACTAGTTAGCTGCTCCCTGCTATGGCTGCTCTTCCATGAGCCCATGAGAAAACCACAGAGGTTGCAGTGAGAAAACCACAGAGGTTGCAGTGAGAAAACTGTCAGTCCACGCTCCAGCAGGATTTCACTGGAGACCCAGGAACGTTGATCCAAAGAGAGTTTGCTTCTAAAGGTTTAGAACAATCCAATCTTAGCCCACAATGTAAAGAAGGAGGGTCGATATGTAAGTAACACCTTCTTTAACGTTTTTAAATACGTAAGGGGGGAAAACTGGTAATGAATCCCAAGCCACAAAAAAGGTAAAAATCAACAAGCATATAACAGACATACATGAATGGCCCCTGTCACTGGTCTTTCCATTGATAATGCAGGGATGTCTTGGACTAAGAAACAGAAAAGTAAGTTTAAAAGTCATAAAAACAGTTGCCTTTAAATTTAAAACCCAAGTTAGGGATGTTTTCTTCATAACTCTTTCCTTCATTCTATCAGCTTAAGCTTAAACAGAACTTTTTCCATTTATCATCTGAGGGTATAGGATCAAACTATGAAGGTCTAGAACAGGGGTCAGCAAACTACCGCCTACCAGCTTTGTCAAGCCCCTCCATTTACAAGCTGCCTGCAGTTGCTCTGGTATTATGAATGCAGGGTTGGATGGATAGCAAAATAATAGGCCTTCACAGGAGAACTGTGCTGTTCTTATTGTGAATAGCACCACACATCAAATGTGTGAGTAATACATGCTCAGGCTCATTAATTAAAGTGTGTTTCCCATGACACACTGTCAGTTACACTATGTAGAAGGCTACTTTCTTCACTCATTAGAAAGGATCAATAGGAGGCAAGTGCCCTGGGCCTGTGGGTTGGGAAGCCACTATTCTGACCCCTTTGAATACATGATCCTTAGTCCCTGAATTGCTTATAAGGACTAAGAAATACTATGCCATCTCATTCTTCCCTTTTTCTACCACTCCTCTCTTAGATAAGCTAAAACATCCAAATTATAGTTATTTGAGTCAAGATTAAAATGCTGATGGTTTTTATGGTTAAAGATTATCTTTCCCCTAAAGGTCTCCAAGGTAAGGCCCAAATACATGTCTCTGAAACACTTTTCTTAAATTTTTTCTTTTCATTTATTAATTAACTTTTTATAATCATACACTATTATACTTGTATAACATCTAATTTCACAAAAAATATATGAATGGAATATATGACACTTGGATATTATGTAGAAAATGAGCAGAAGTCAAATGACAAAAAAGTTTACAAACGGAAAAAGGTTATACACAATATTTTCTGATATATTTACAAATCAAAATGGCTAAAATGTAAAGCTGCTAATCAAATTAGATTGTTTAAATGTTTATAATTCTCCAAAATAGAAAATACACCTGGGTGTTCAACTGAAAGCTAAAATTATTTAGATCTGCCTCAAGTGAGCTTATATATAAGAAAGAACATCTTCATATTTTTCAGCTTACAAAAACTTACCCCATATCCAGTAGCTTTAGGTCTAGTAACTGCAGTGCTTGGGATTTTAGCAGTTATCTTGGGGAGGAAAAAAACGAACATAGTTACCAGAATTCAGATTACGCTACAGAATAGAAAACTGGAAAAGAAATGGGAAATGCAGACTCTCCAATAAAGAAATATTATGTAATACTTAAGTGATGTCTTCTAAACTCTCTTCAATATTAGGGTGCTCACTTGTTTGAGCATTGGGAAGGAAACTTATTTTGAACACCTTAAAGGAGAGGGGACTTGAGGACGAGCTCAGGTGCCTGTTTCAGCTTGCACTGATCATTCGTTAAACATGTGCTGCGTCCTCAGCACCGCCAGCTCTGGGCCCAGCCACAGGTGCAGGGTGTGGGGCCTGAGAACCTGGTTTTGAATCTCACTTCACCCTCAACTTAAGATTTTGAGCCTAAATTTGCTGGTCTTTTAACTGAGGATACAAAGCATACTGATCACACAACTGTAGCTAGAATCAGATAGGACCATGTGGAAGGGGAAGGGCCTTAAACATGAACATGGTAACATATATGTTTGAAGTGTTCGATTAAATGTCATTCATGGAGGAATTCTACCTCTGGCTTCCTGCTAAGAACAATTAAAAAGGCTGGGGACAGAAATATTTTGATTAAAAATCACTTAAAAAATCAGTTTGAATGCACTGGAGAACCACAAAGGCAGTAAAGAGTTACAAGTCTCGAAATAAGGATGAGAAGGCAAGGCTAGTGAGATGAACCTGCATGTAGGCTGTGTTTGCATTACAGGCATCTATTCATGCCAGAGGCATGGCTTCTGACAGATGCACAGCCTGAGGGAACAACACTGGGTTGGATGGTGTGCCAAGGAGGCAGCCTGGCAACCCTCTAGGCTTTGCTTGCCATCTCAAAAGCCTGTACCCTAAGCCCTCAGAAGGACTGAAGTCAAATTTAGACTCTTCTCAAATCCAACTGGATTAAGGTGATCAGCGATTTCTAGTACTTCAAGGGCTATAAACAAAGTCAGTCCTCTCCAATGGAAGATAAGAACCTGAGCACTGTGCTATCCAACACAACACTCTATCTCTACTCTTTCTGATAAGATAGCCACTGAGCACACAGGGCTATTGGGCATTTGAAGTGTGACTAGTGCAGCAAGTACCAGAACTTTTAATTTTAAATAATTTAAATGTAAATAGTGTGGCTAGTGGCTATCATACTGGACAGCGCAGACAGAGAGCAATAAATTAGCTCCACAATTTTTCATTTACAATGAAAACAAATTCATTCAAAAACAACCAGACACAGGAGGCAAGCCTGCCTAACCAAACAAGAGTAAGAACTGACAAATTGGACTGCATCAAATTAAATTAAAAAGTTTCTGCTTATCGATGGAAAATAATGATCAGAACCAAGAGACAACCCACAGAATGGGAGAAAATGTTCATTAACTATTCAACAGATAAAAGATTAATATCCAAAATAGACAAAGAACTCAAAACCTAAACATCAAAAGAATAACCCAATTAACAAATGGGCAAATGAACAGAAAGTTCTAAGAAATGCGAATGCTAATAAATCACATGAAGAAATGCTCGACGTCCTTAGCCATAAGGAAATACAAATCAAAACCACGTAAGATTCTACCTCAGCCCAGTCAGAACGGCAATCATTAAGAAAGCAATAGGAGACCAAGATGGCTGCGAGCGTCACTGCCTTCCTCAAGGATGCCAGGGCCAAGGAGCCAGGACTGGTCAGGTCCTTTGCCATCAAGGGCTTCCCTTTAATTCTGCCCTCACTCAGTCCCTACACAAAGTAAAACCATCTTGAGGAATGAGGCCACACCCTACAGGTACCCCATGCCCATTCCAGATGTTGGGAATAGGCCTGACAAACCCAGCCATCCCCAGGATCCCCAGGGTCCCAGCTTGGAGTAGATGAAGAAACTGTGAGCCCTTCTACTGACAGGAAGAGGCCCTCTCCCTTGTGGCCCCCAATAAAAATGAGAAAATCAAAAAGAAAGAAGAGGAGGAAGAGGAAGAAGAAACAATAATCAACAAATGCTGGTGAGGATGTGGGGAAAAGGACCTTCATATACTGTTGATGGGAGAGTAAACTGGTATAGCCATTACAGTAATCAGTATAGAAGTCCCTGAAAGAATGGAAAATAGATCTTACGACCCCACCACACTTCTCTTGAGTATACATCCAAAGGAGTGCAAATCAGTATGCAAGAGACACCTACATACCCATATTTATTGTAGCTCTGTTCACAATAGCTAAACTATGCAATCAGCTAAGGTGCCCAATGACCAATGAAATGATAGATAATTATGGTACACATATACATACATATCATGGAATATTAATCATAAAGAAAAACAGAATTATGTCATTTGCTAGAAAATGGATGGAACTGAAGATCATCATCTTGAGTGAGATAAGCCAAGCTCAAAAAACCAAAGATCACATGTTCTTGTTCATTAATGGAACCTAAACCTACGACGACGATGATGATGACAATGTACGTGAATGTCAAAGGCAAATGTCTCGGGGAGGGGGGGGAATCAGTAGGAAGAGGAGGGGAAAGGAAAGGACACTAGAGGGAAGAAGAACAAAATTCACCAAAAGTATATATTGGAAGACAGCATAACGAAACCCACTAAAGGGGGAGGAGGGATGGGCAAAGGGAGTATAATGGAGATGTGAATTTGTTGAAAGTACACGGTACATGTGGATAGGATTATAACAATTAATATTCCTAATGTACTCTAATTCAAAATATAATAAAAATTATTCATGATAAAAGAATAACCAAAAACCCCAAAATGAATGGAAAGAAACCCAGAGGGAATACATAAAATGGAAATATTAAGCCATAGATTTTAACATCACTATACTTAGCATGTTCAATGAGTTAAAAGGCAAGACTGAACATTTCAGCAGAGAATTGGAAACAATACAAAATGAATACATAAGCCAGGCATGTGGCATGTGCCTGTAATTCCAGCACTTGGGAGGATGAAGCAGGAAGGTCACAAATTCAAGGGCAGCCCGGGCCACATAGTATGTTGCTATTCTTTTGTTTGCTTTTGCAATACTGGGGTTTGAACTCAGAGCCTCATACTTGATAGGCAGGTGCTCTATCGCTTTAACCACTCTACCAGCCCTTATAAAACTCACAAGGCATTATGGGAAGAGGTTTTTTTTTTTTGTCTTTTCTTTTTTGGTGCTGGGATAGAACCAGGTTAAGTGCCGTACCACTGAGCTACATCCCAGCCCCTCACAAGGCATTTTCCACTTAATATAATGTGTAGGGTGTAATGAAAATATCACAACAGTGCATCAAGAGACCTACACTCTATCCCTACTACAGGCACCTTCTTCAGGCTTCTTCAGGCTTCTTCAGGCTCCAATTTCTTCATCAATACAAACAAGACCTTGGATGTCCCTTCTAAAGACTATTAAGGGCCAGCTTGGCAAAATTAGCACCTGCTGTCTGAAACCTGGAATCATTAAACTGAGGATACAGTTCACTGATTAAGTCATTCAATGAAGACTACAACAGATCAGAAGAGTGACAGACAGACAGAATGCTTCTTCAACAAGCTCACAGTCTACTCACTAGCGTAGTGGTAGAACTCAGCACTTATGTATTTCTCTCCATAATGAAAGCAACCTTAAAAGTAAAATACCCACCATAGGATTTGTAGTAGAACATTAACCATCCAAAGAAGTGTGGCCTTTTCCCTGGCTACTGGGAGGTGACCTCTAGGCCCCTGGCATATCTGATCCACCTGATAAGAGTGGCTTCATTTGCCTAGGGGCACTGTTCTCTGGACAGCGAACGAATGTGATTTTTGATAGGGGCTTTGGGACATATCATATCACTTCCAACTTCCCAGAGACATTAGCCTGAGTCTCGGGGAGGCTAATATCAGCCACATGGGCAGTATTGGATTGAGCCCCAATAAAAAGTCCAGACACCAAAGTCTTAGGTGGATGCCCATGGCTGGCAATACGGAGTGCTATCACATGCAGTGGTCAAGAAGAGTTTCTGTTACTCACAGCTCTAGAAGAATATGAACACTACAGAAAGAGTACAACCTGAAGCTCTGTGTCTGGGTCATTCTCAGCCTGGTCCACCTTTTCCCTTGGCATATTTTCACCTGTATCCCCAATACAGGTAGCTCTCAGTAGGTTCTAGGAGTCCATCCAGACAACTGTCAAACCTGAGGATGGTTCTGGGAACCCAGCCTTGCTCGCAGTGGCCGTGAAAAGTGAGGGTGGTCTTGAGGAGGACTCTGTCCTCCCCTGAAGTTGGAAAAGTAGGAACCACAGTAAACCCACTTACACTAAATGAGATGGGCAAGCTACTCACAAGACCCCTTCAACTTTAAGTGGTTTAATGCTAACCATCTATGTGTGTGAAACAAGAATGGAATATAGAGGGAAAAGGAGAAGGTGTGGAAAAGAGGAGGAAGTGCCGGAACCACGCCATCACTGGTAGAGAATTCTTTATTATGGAGGGATGGCCTCATGCCCTCCACTAGACACTAGTAGCTCCCACTCAAGTTGTAACAAGCAAAGTATCTCCAAACATTGCCCAGTGTTCCCTGACGGTGAGGGTGGGCAAAACTCACCCCAGTTTAGAACTTTGGTTATATAATAGTGGATAGTGATAAGCAGTTTATTAAAGAGGAATATTGGGCATAGAACACTAGAGGGAAAAAACTTTCCATATTTCACTATTTTATGTAATGCTGACCTTCTTTATTTTCAACAAAATAAAGAAAAAGAAGCTTTGCAGCTGGAGGTGTGGCATAAGTGGTAGATTTCCTGCCTAGTAAGCACAAGGCTCTGAGTCCAAACAGAGGAAGCATATTCTGATGGTCTATATAAACAAAATTTAAAATTTCAAGAGCATAAAGAAATCCTTTGATCTGAAATACTTAAATTCACTTATTGGCCCCCTATGTATGTATAATTATTATATGTGCTATTGTTTGTAGTTTGTCCCCCAAAGTTTCAAGGGTTCAAGGTCTGATCCCCAGGGTGGAAGTACTGGGAGGTGCAAGGGAAACTTTAAGAGGTAGGGCCGAACCAAGGTGTGGTGCTGCATACCTATAATCTACCACTTGGGAGGCTGAGGCAGGAGGATCATGAATTCAAGGCCAGCCAGGGTACAGAGCAAGTTTGATGCCAGCCTGGCCTTCATACCAAAATTCTTCCTCTTGTGCAGAAGGAGAGAGGGGCCAAAAGGGAGATCACTGGGGGATATGGTCCTCTGGAGAAAATTCTCACAAGAGCAAGTAGTGATAAAACCCCGAACATGACCCCTGCAATCCCTTTCTGGCTCCCTGTGTATCCTTCCACACATGCCCTGCCATGTGCCCTGGAGCTCACACCAGATCCTACACAATGCTGCTTGGACTTTTAACCTCCAAAACCAGGAGCGAAATAAACCTCTTTCCTTTACAAAGTTGGCCTTTGTCTGTCATTTCATTATAGTAACAAAACTAAAATAACATGTCAATTAAAATATTTTTTTAAAAATCTCATCTTCTACATACACTGAAAACTACAAAATATTGCTGAAAGAAATCAAAAATGACATACATACTTGAAAAGACATCCTGTGTTCATCGTTGGAAGACTTCATGTTGCTAAGATGCCCATACTACTTGATGTGGTCTACACATTTAACAATCCCTATTAAACTATCAACCTCATTTTCTGTAGAAATAGAAAAACTGGTCCTAAAACTCATTTGGAATATCAAGGAATCCTGAAAAGCTAAAACATTTTGAAAAAGAACGAAGCTGGAGAATTCACACCTCCTAATTTAAAAATATAATACAAACTCTAGTTAGAAAAACAGTGTGGTACTGACCAAAAGACGTATAGACCAATGAACAAAACAAGCCCAGAAATACACTCTAGCCATGATGGTCAAATGATGGTTGGCACAATCCGTGAGGAAAGGACAATCTTTCCAACAGTGGTATAAGAACCAGCTATCCACATGGAAAATAAAGAGGCTGGACCGTTATCTTATGCCACAAAAAAACTACAAAACTCCTAGAGGAAAGCAGAGAGGAAAGGATTCATGGCATCAGTTCTAGCAATGTTTTCTAGCATCAACAACAAAATGCAAAGAGACAAAAAAAGACTACATCAAACCAAAAACTTCATGTAGCAAAGAATAAAACCAACAACATGAGATTGCAGTCCACAGAACTGGAGAAAAATCTTTGCAAATCACATATGCAAGGGTTGGCAGAGTGGCACAAGTGGTAGAGCACCTGCCTAGCAACAGCAAGGCTCTGAGTTAAAACCCAAGTGCCACGAAAAATGGAGGTTAATGTCCAGAATACAAAACAAATACCTACAACTCAACAACAAAAATGGACACATGTTCATTAACAGATGAATAAACAAAATGTGGTATATCTTACAATGGAACATCGTTCAGCTTACGAAGGAGGAAATCCAGTCACATGGCACAATACAAGTGAATCTTCAGGACATTATTCTAACTGAAATAAGTCAGTCACAAAAAAGACAAATGCTCTGAGAGTCCACTTATCTGAGGCACCTGGGACAGTGAAATTCACAGAGCTAGAAAGCAAAATAGTTGTTAGGGCTTAGAGAAGGGGAAGATGAGGTAAGTTTCAGATTAGCAAGATAACAGAGCTCTGAAGCTCCACTTCTCAACAATGTAAATGTACCTAACACTACTGAGCTATGCACTCAAACAAAGTTAAGACGGTACATTTTCTGATGCGATTTTTACCATCATTTTTTTTCAAATTTCACTTACCTGGAGGTCTTCTGCCATGACTAGTTCTCACTGCTTGCTGAAAACCAGTATCAGTTTCCAATTCCTAAAATAAAAAGAAATTTCACATTCAAAATGAACTGGATTTTAAAAACTTTTAACTCTTTGGTTTGGTATTCAAGATCCTCTGTAATTCATCTTATCCCAAATGGATAGGGCTCAAGGATTCCTGCCTTCAAATCTGGCACCAACTGTCACAGCTCCCATTGCCCTAGGAGGAGGACATTTCATTGACTACTGTTTAGATGGATGACATCATAATGTCTCGTTAAAGGATCAAGTTTCGAAGGATATGTACTTTCCTCACATTTTTTCTTCCTGGTAGCTAGAGCACTGTCAGGATAACACTCCAGATGACATGTGCACAATGCTCACACTTGACTTCCATTTATTCCATTCTTCCCTCTACAAAATTACTTGCTGCTCTGGTTTGGATGTGGTTTGTCCCTCAGAGGTTCGTGTGCTGGAGGCTTGATCTCAAGGGTCGCAGTGACGAGGATGTGGAACCTTCATAAGGTGGGCCTACTGCACTGAAAGTGATTATGTCACTGGGACAGAGCCCTTGGGAGTTGATTGATGCTGGGCTATGTACTTAGTTCCTGAGAAAATGGGTTATAGAAGAAGAGTAAAACTGGCCCCTCTCTGGCTTCCTATCTCACCATGAGATCTGTCCCTCTCTTACACACTCCTTACCACGATACTAGTTACCATGTTGTCATGCAGCCAAGAGGCCCTCCACAGAAAACAAGCAGATGGCGCTGTCCAATCTGGGACTTTCAGCCTCCAAAACTGTGGGTTGAAAAGCCTCTTTTCTTTATGTATTATCCAGCCTCAGGTATTTTGTTACAGTAACAAGAAACAGATTAACATATTTGACAAAAGTTTAAAAATACAAACATAACTTATAAGATAGTCACCATCAATTAACTTTTTAAAAAATAAGGTGTTTATAAAACCATGATGGTAATACAATGCAGTTTAAAACATGCTTTTATTGCACACAATCATACTCAACTTTTACTATAAATTATCTCTGTAATCTTTCATATCAATTCCATAAAATTAAATAAGTACACAATTCGTAGTCATAAAAACTGGGAACTTTTATACAAAGCATAAAGCCACAGGCAACTTCTAGCATCATTAATTGTACTTCTAGTTTGGCAGATCTTTTGATAAAAAGGTATCTTCTAAGATTTCTAAACTATTTAGTAAAATTTGATAAATCAATAAAATCTAACTAAACGAGACACTTAAAAAATGGTCAACAAATTCTCCAATTACAAACACCAAGCACAACTTTTGCAAATTTTTCTTTGTGCTTAGATGAACAAGTTGCATGTTTTATGAACGTCTTAAACAACAGTTTCATGAGATTAAGTTATATATTGAACTTGTTACTATTACAACTAATTTATATAACAGAAAACCAAACATAAACCAAACAGCATTTTTATTTTGCTCTGTGATTTATTTTGGGGTCCAATATTCTTGAGTATTCACTTCCAACTAAATCAGTGTGACACAAGGCACGCTGTGACAACCTGGAAACACAGGAAATTTCTCTGGTGCTTTATGATCTATTAATCCGTCCAGAGATTCTGTCGAAAAAGTGTTTGATCAAACCACTGAAATTATTAATGTATCAAACTGTTTACTGCAATTTCATTTGAAATACCAAAAAAGTAGGAAAAAACAACCTATGGTAAGAAAATACATCCAGTTAACTATATGCTTTCAGTGTTTGTAGCCATTAAAATTTTATTTATCTAAATATTTAGGATCATACAACATTGATTATGCTACAGTTGAATGTAAAAAAGCAAACAGAAAAGTAAATGCTAGTTCAATCACGAACACATGAAAAAGAAAACTGTCTACATATGCATAAAGAAAAGACAAAACAAGAAAATGTTGAAAGCAGTTATTTCTAAGTGATGCAATCATCAGTAACTTTACATTCATAACTGGGAGAAAGAACTGGTATCAATTGTTTTACTAATGTACTCTGTTTTTGGAAAATCTTACACTGCAAATCAAAGTTCACAAAGTAGACTGCATAATCATATCTGCATATTTGTGATGTGTGTTTTTATATAAGAAAGAAAACATCTGCATATGTTAAAAGACAGCAAACCCTCAGGTTAAGCAGCACGAAGAGTTAGTTCATGGTTGTGGTTTTTTTCTTTATACTCATCTCTATTTCCTAATTTTTCTGTAAAATACTTACATAACAAAAGAAAATGAATAACTACTTCATTTCATACTTAGAGCACTAGAAGCTGATCTCAGGTATCCTCAGGATATAACATGAACAATGACAGAGGTGACTCCACTTTGGATGAGAAAGACACTTTAAAAGCAGACATCTAAGGAGGCCTGCACAGGCTTCTCAGAGAAATAACAAACCCATTACCAAAATAGCAAACTAAAGCTGCACAATGTAGGTGGCGGGCCCCAAGGCCAGGATGAGTTGAATAGACTTTGAAGGCCAGGACAAGCTGACCAGGCCTTCTTGGAATGTTCAGTTCTATAAGGAAGGGATGGACGGGTAGCTGAGTTCAGAGAGAAGCTGACTCGATGCCAACCAATCACAAATATAGTTTCAAGATAAAATAGTTGGACCTAAGCCAGTTAGTGCCCTATGTCATTCCTAGACTTCAGCTAAACTACAGCTTTAGCTTTCCACATCTCCTCCCATTCATGTGGGAGCTTTGCTATCATTTTAATGAACTTTGCACTTGCTTTACTCTTAACTCCTGCTCCGGCCTTCAATTATTGACTTTGCTGGGATACAAACTTGGGATCAACAACCCAGTTTCAATGAGATCTAAGTCTGTTTCACTTGGACCCTCAGAGATCCAGTGCTGAAGAACAGAATCTGTAACTGTGAATTCACTCCTACCACCATCCTCCTGACCTTCCTCCCCTGAGCTGCAATGCTGATGGTGTAGTCACTCACAGCACTTTTCCAGCTTATGAATCAGCTACTTCATCAAAAGCATAAAAAAGCAGAGAACGCTCACATCACCTAAGCCGGTTAACAAAACTCTAACATAAAAAGAACAAGATTTTCTATCTCCGTAGCAAAGGTTGGATTGTAGTCGTTACAACCAGAATAAAGATCATCTTCGTCTGTCTCTGGCGCCAGGTGCACATTCTGCATCATGTGTACCTATGAAAAAAGTCCACCATGTAAATATGTTGCAATAATACACACTGTAATCTCAATTATGACACACAATTATGGTACATATTGGAATATAAGTTGTGTTTTAATATGCTGTGCTTAAAACTGTAACAAAGAAACAGTCTTAATAACTATCTTTAAAACATGAATAGTTGATTTTCATTTTAGTCAACAATATTCAGCTTTTATGAAGGACAAGGGTAAGATCTTGTCTCTAACTTTATCAGCTTATGAACAATCAATAGTCTGTGTGTCAAGGTTAAAAATAAATGTGCAAATCCTAAGAGCTTTGTTAAAAGTTTAAGAATCTTTGTTGAGTGAAATTGATGAGGTATGGAAAACACATCAACATTATTTACTAAATAATGTCTCGCCTAATCTATTTTCCATCAAACTCTATAAATGCTATAGCAGGTCCTATGCAGTTTGTATTTGTAAGTTAAATAAGTGAGACTACTGTTAGTGAACAATTTGAAGTTGTGTGCCACTCCGAGTAGAGTGACAAATTATCATACAGTCCTACTCAGTGCCACCTGGGAAGTGAATCATGCCTTCATCCAGTGTATACACCCTTTAGATGCTACCTGCCCACTAGTCAGTTAGCAGCTATCTTAGCTATCAGGTTAATTGTTGCAATATCCTTCTTTTATTTACTAAGGGTCCAAAAGAATAGTGATGCTACCAATTCAGACATGCTGAGAAGTGGTAAAGTGCTTCCTTTAAGTATCAACTCACATTAAAAGGTGCTGACACTGCAAAAAGATATCTGGAGAGAAACCACATTTATATAACTTTTGTTATAGTATATTGATGTCATTCTTCCTTTCTGCAGTTGTTGTTAACCTCTTAAAGAGCCTAATTCATTAATTTCTTCATGTGTATATATGTATAGGATAAAACACAGCACACACAGGATCCAGTACTACCTGAGGTTTCAGGGATCCAACAGGGGTCTTGGACTATATCCCCTGTAGACAAGGGTGGACTAGTACTGTACTAACCCGGCAGTTCCCAAACTTCACCATCAAAAGCTAAAGAGTTTGTTAAATTCAGAATTCGGCTCCCCAGCCACCAGTGGTCTGACTTAGTAAGTTTTGAGTGGGGAAGCTCACCACCCCCCACGCCTTGATCACTTAGAATGTGAATTTCTAACACGTTCCCAAGTGGTTCAAGCTGCTAGACTGTGCACTACATTGAGGATCCCTGTGTAAAGAACAACTTCCTGGTGAGGAGCTCTGGTTAAGTGAGCCTGCCTTACACAGAAGTCATGAAAACCAGCAGCTTTTACATTTCAGATTCCTTTCCAGGAGAAACTTAAGCTGAACATACTTAGGTGGAATATATGAATTTTAAAAATGTGGAAAGCAAGATGAGGAAAGGTGAAGGAATAAAAGCTAGCAGCTATGAATGGCAGAATAAAAATGACCACTCAGGGTGTCTGAAGTCTCCAAGCTGTTTCAAAAGCAGCCCACACACATAACCAGCTCCTCACGTGGAAGGAATTTGGGGATAATGCTGCGTCCATACAACTGCCACCAAAACCTTTTTCTAAAGTGTTTTTATACACTCCTCTTTAGGACAGCCTAACTCCAACATGTCTATTGGAGTTTCAAAAATAAAAACCTCACAAGCAGAAAATTAGCCTGGTAGAAGAAAAAGTGGAATTTATTTTAGGCTTAGAAAGTATCTTGGGAAACCAATGTAGTAGGTCTCCCCTTATCTGTATGTTCTGCAGCCTCAACCAACTACGAATTGAAAATGTCTGGGGAAAAAAATAACATCTTTTAAAAACATTTTCTGACTTTTTTCCCGGGTCATTATTTTCTACACAATTCGGTATAACTATTATTTATACAGTATTTACATTGTATTAAGTATTGTAAGTAACCTAAAGATGGTCTGGAGGCTGGAGGATGTAGGTAGGTTATATGAAAATACTATGCCTTTTTTACAGAAGGGGCTGAGAATTGGGGGGGGGGGTCCTTAAACCAATTCCTTGAAGACTGCCATCTCAGATCATTTCCATGTACTGTATGCAATTATGCAATTTTTTTTTTTTTTGGCGTACTTCTCCCTTCACCCCGACTCAACCTCACTTTAGGCAATTCAAGTTTGACCTGAACAGTATTATTACTGCAGGTGCTGTGAACGCCAAGCGCTGCTGGCGCAAGGGTCTCCCTGGCGTGACGTCCCCTCCTTCAGGTGTGACTGGCCTGGGAAGCTGGAACCGCGATGCCCAGCCCGTTGGGCGGCTGCGGTGCCGTCGGACAGCTGCGGAGCCGAACGAGGGGCGCCAAGAGCCAGGCGAGGAGGGGCGCGGGGCGGGGACTGGACAGTCCGTGGCCCCACATCGCCCGGCGGCGGGGCCTGATGCACGGGCACGGCCGCGAGGGCCCCGAAACGCCCGGCCAGCCCTTCTCCTACCTTGCTACGCAGGGAACAGGGCGCCAGCAAGTGCAGCCCAGGGAAGATGCGGCGTCTGAGCCAATCTACCGAGAACCTCCTCAGGCCAAAGCGCGGACAGCAGGTTTTGCCAGGAGCCGAATCCAAGGAAGCCGCTCCCACAATCCTCCGCGAGAGTGGGCGGGACCAGGAGTGGGAGGGGCCACGGGGCGGGGCCACGGGGCGGGGCCACGGGGCGGTCTGCGGGGAACTAAACATCCCGGCGAAAACCAAGGTCCTGTAAATCCTGGGGAGAACATCCGCAGATCGGGTGAGCCACCGCACTGGTGTTATCAGCCGCGGAAGCCGGTTCTCTGTGTAATCACTGAAAACAATTGTATTTGTCATCAATAAGAGTCTTTTCAAGTGACACCTATCCCATCACACACCCCTCTGCCTCATCCAATCAGTCGAAGGTCTTAAAAGACTGATGTAACCTGAGAAAGGGGAAAATGCCCCTAGACTCCCTTCAGACTCCGGATTGAGTAATCAACTCCTCCTTGGGTCCCCAGGCTACCCACCTGTCCTGCAGATTTTGGACTTGCCAACAAGTGATCCAATTTTTTAAGCAAAATTCTCAATACATAGGTCTGTTTCTGTGTAGAACTCTAATACAACTATTTTCAGGGATTTGGTATAGCAAACAGCTTTGGAAGACTGAAGTAAGTGCTTTCCTTTAGAGCAAAAGGCGAGTATGTTGTCGTCCAATATAATAAAGGTAACATCTCCCTCCCGGGCAAAAGCTGAGCACATTGACTTGCAGTCTATTATAAAATACTGAGATTTCCTAAACATGGCTTTACTCAACTGTGACACAAACCTACTGCATGTGCAGCACACACTTGGGTTACCCTCAGGGTGCATAGGGGAACCAAAGAGACTTTGGCCGCTGGCTGTGCAGTGAGAATAAAGTCCTTTGTTTCTGATCCAGGTGTTTTCTGCCATCATGTACCTGTGTTAGGCTACTGTGCTGGCTTGCAAGTATGGTAAAATCTTACTCAATTATGGAAAATATCTAGTTAAAGCATTTAGCTCAAAGCAGATGCTCAATAAAATTTGTTGAATTAATTTGTAAACTCTTTAGAACCCTTCTTTCAAGTTACTGCAGTTTAATATGTAGAGACAAATGTCATTATCTCAGGCTGGTAGAGTGACTCAAGTGGCAGATCACCTGCCCAGCAAGTGTGAGGCTCTGAGTTCAAGCCCTAGTATATCCAAGGTCTCCAGGCTATAAATTTCCAGTCCTCTTATTTTTTATCTTGGTACTGGGGATTGAACTAAGACCTTGAGTTTATTAGGCAAGCACTCTACAACTTGAGCTGCAACCACCAAATTTCAATTTTTGTAATTGGAAACAAATTCAAGATCGTTCAACTCTCTTTAAACAACATAGTTACTTACCCAGAGTAAATAACTATGATCAAGCATAGTAAGAATGATCAATCACCTCCTTCATTGTAAGTATTATAATGAGACCAATATTTATTGAACACATGTCTGTTATTACCAGAAAAAAATGTTAGGATCATGTAACTTTTATTATTAAAATAAAAGTTTAGGCTGGGTGTGGTGGTATATGCCTGAATATGCACTTGGGAACTGGGATAGGAGGATCATGAGTTCAAGGCCAACCTGGGGTACACAGTACAGCCTGAGTTACAAACTTCATAGTGACACCCTGTTTTAAAAACTAAAATGAGGGCTGGAGGCATGCATGGTTCAAGGGGTAGAGCCCCTGACCCACCACCACAAAGCCCCAAATTCAAACCCCAGTACTGCAAAATAATAATAACAATATTAATAATAATAATAAATTAATTGGCCTGGAGACATGGCTCAAGCTATAGAGCACCTGCCTAGCTAGTGTGAAGCCCTGAATTCAAACCCCAGTACCACCATTAAAGAAAACCCAAATAATAGCAATATAAATAAGATAAAATGTAAAAGCTTCACAGAGCACAGGGAATTTTTGTCTTTTCTGTTCTAGACTGTATCTCCAGTACATAAAAATTTTCTGTCAGTAATTGACCCTCAATAATTAGCTAATGAATGAATAGTCAGGACTTGTAATTCATTACATACAGAGTTAGGGATGAGTGGGAAGCAAGCAACTAGCATGAATTGCCAAGTTTGACACAAGTAATGGAGTAAAAGGTAGTGTCATTTGTTACTATAGAGCAAAATAGATGAGAAGCAGGTCTGAGAGACAAAGTCAGTTTAGTTTTGAACATACTGAGTTTCAGTGCATGTAACGTGTGCAAAAAGCAGAGAAGAGACCCCCATCTGGAGATATACACTTGGGATTTGCTGACTTCTAAGACAGACAGGTCTAAAGCCTAAGGGTGAGCGAGATTGCTTTCAGGACAGACAGATGGAGAGAGGTGAAAAAGAGAAAGTTTCCACCTGAGCCTTAGAAACTTAACATTTGAACACTGTAGAATAGGGGTGCTAAGGATTCTCATTAGTGGTCAGACATACTGGAGCAAAATCAGGACAATGAAAGCAAGGGAAGCTAAGGGAAGTAACTATGTCAAAGAAGAGGGAGTGGAACATGAGGTAGAATTCTGTTGAAAAACTGAGTGAGTTTAACCAAAGATCTTTCTCAACATTTAGCAAGTTGAAGGTCACTGGAGATTTAGCCCGACTGTGCTGGGTTGACTGGTAATTGTTGATTGTATTAGTCCATTTTGTGTAACTCCAACAAAATATCTGAGGCAAGCTAATTCTATATAGAACATAGGTTTATTGAGTCAGGGTAGTAGTATACACCTTTAATCCCAGCACCTCAGCACTTGGGAAGCCTAGGCAGGAGGACCAGAAGTTCCAGGCCAGCCTGGGCTACATAATAAGACCCTGTCTTTTTTTTTTGGCAGTAATGGCATTTGAACTCAGAGCCTACACCTTGAGCCACTCAGCCAGCCCTTTTTTATGATGGTTTTTTCCAAGATAGGGTTCATGAACTATTTACCCATGCTGGCTTCCAACCGTGATCCTCCTGATTCTTCCTCTTGAGTAGCTAAGATTACAACTTTGAGCCACCAATGCCCAGCTAAGACCGGTCTTTAAAAAACAAAGATTCATTTTGTTCCTGGTTTTGGTGGCTGAAAGTCCAAGCAGTATGGTACAAGATCACTCAAAGGCCCCCTGAGAAATGGCTGAGTGGGAGTGGAAGTGAGAGCACATCACCAAATAGAAAGCCAGAGAGCAGTTGGACCAGGCTCAGGCTTTTACAACAAACCTCTCACAAAGAGCTAACCAGGGTCCCAACAGAAATACCTTAGCCCTTCTAAGAGACACTCTCAATTGACCTGATGTCACCCCTGCACACCTGCTAGTCCCACCACTTAAAAGGCTCCACAGCACATCCTCATAGCACTTTGGGATCTAGCTTCCACCACATGAACCTTGAATGACAGACCATGTTCAAGACAGCAGCAATGAAGAAGTGAGTGGATATTAAAACTCAACATGCCCAGATATGAATGGGAAGAGAGACCCTTGAAGGTGAGGGAGTCGTAAGAGAGTTTTTTCCGGCTTTTTCCTTTTTTAGGATAGAAGATGTTAGAATATGTATTAATCCTAATGAAAATAATCCAGTAAAAAGAGAATTGAGGAAGGAGAGATGGCTGAGAAGAAAGGGACTGGAGAAAAGTAGAGAAAGTCTAGAAGAAGCAGGAAGAGGGGCACAAAAAGTTGGCAGAACTTGACCTTGAAAAAAAGCAGCTGGTCTAGACATGGTGTGAGTTTCTGCCTGACCATTTTCAGGTCTGGACCTTCCTCATCTACTCTAGTGTCTGAGTGTTCTGAAAAATGAAGGTCATGGTAAAAGAGGAATGTATCACTACAGCCTCCAGAATCTGTTCTGAGAAACCTTGCCTCAGTCATTTAAATTGATGTAACAATGACACAGATGCGTAGCTTAAGGAGTAGAAATTTGTTATCTCACAATTGGGAGGCTAATGTCTAAGGTGAAGGTAACTGCAGGGTTTTTCTCCTGAGATCTTTCTCCTTGGATGCAGGCAGCTACTTTCATGCCATGTTCTCATATGGTGGCCTCTGTGTTGTCTGTGTCCCAACCTCTTTTTCTTATAAGGACACCTTTACACTGGATTAGGGACACCCCAAAGACCTCATTGTAGCTCAGCGATCTCTTTAAAGACCCTATTTCCAAAACAGCCAGGCTTCATCATATGAATGAAGAGGGACAGGATTCAGATATCACTAGACCCTCCAGAAGTGGATGCTGCAATCCAGATGAGGCTCTGCCGCTGACTACAGAAGAGGACCAGCAGGGGAGGGACAGCAAGGAGGGCTGCAAAAGCTGAGTAGAGTCCACAGTCACACTGAGGGAGCTCTTCTGGGAAACAAAGTGCACAGTGACACTATCAGTGGCAGAGGGGACCAGCCTGCAAAGCTGGAGAATGACAAAGGCTTTGGATACCATGCAGCAGGACCAGGATTCTCAGAAGAAGTTTTATCACAGGGAAACATGTACCCCACCTTCTCCTGAGGCAAACAGTAGAGTAAGGAATATAGAAGAGACAGGGCCCAGAAAACCAATCAAGGATAGTGTTCAATGCAGGGTTGAGCTCTAACTGTGACATGCCTGGACTCAAGGGCGGTTAGGTTAGGCATCTGTGAGCTACCTGAGCATCTGCAGGTGGCCTATACTAAGAGCTGGGATCTGACTGTTACCTTCACTGTTCCTGTGATGCTGGTAACATCTGGGAGGTGGAGGAGGAATTCACTCTAAATCCAAAAGTAAGACAAGGATACAGTGCATTTGGGGGTGGAGTTCTGAGGACATGCATGCTAAGCAAGCACTCTATTGAGCTGAATCCCACCATTGGTTTTTTTTGAGACAAGGTCCTGCTATGTAGCCCAGGCTAGCCTAGAACTTGCTATGTAACCCAGGCTGCTCTCAAACTCATGATTCTTCTGCCTCAGCTTCCCAAGTGCTAGATTATAGGGGTTTACCAACACACCAGTCACCATGAGTGCATTTTTAAAAGGACTTGATTATATACTTAAATGATTGATTTATTATACTTTTCAGTAATTGAAAACAACTATGACTGTAAAAGTTAGTATGATTGAAATATA